GCCACCCTTTAAGAAAATCTAAAAAATATGAATGGAATGATAAATCACAAGTACAAACTCATCATATTTTCTGCATTTTAGATAGGATTTATTTAGCAAAATTTAAGGGTGACGTCACCAATTTTTTTAGGAGGGATGAACAAATACATTTTGAACAAAAGTTTACCATGCTTATAATAACTTTAAAATATCTCTCAGATTTCAAAGCATTCGGTTTTGTAATTCCTGATTAAATCGATCAAATAAATTCACGCATTCATTAATTTTTTTGAGTCAGCCTGTATATGCAAATCCAAAAATATGAATGGAATAATAAACCACAAGTACAGACTCATCATATTTTCTACATTTTAGATAGGATTTATTCAGCAAACTTTTGGGGTGACGTCATCAATTTTTTAGGGGGGATGAGCAAATACATTTTGATAAAAAATTTACCATGCTCATAATAACTTTAAAACATCTCCAAGATTTCAAAGCATTCGGTTCTGTAAATCCTGATTAAATCAATAAAATCAATTGACGCATTCAATAATTTTTTTCAGTCACCCTATATATGCAAATCGAAAAAATATGAACGGAATGATAAATCACAAGTACAGACTCATCATATTTTTCACATTTTAGATAGGACTTATTCACCAAATTTTAGGGTGACGTCATCGATTTTTTTAGTGGGGAAGAGCAAATACATTTTGATAAAAAAATTACCATGCTTATGGTAACTTTAAAACATCTCCAAGATTTCAAAGCATTCGATTATGTAATTCCTGATTAAATCAATAACATAAATTGACGCATTCATTAATTTTTTTCAGTCACCCTGTATATGCAAATCGAAAAAATTTGAATGGAATGATAAATCACAAGAAGAGACTCACCACATTTTGTACATTTTAGATAGGATTTATTCGGCAAAATTTTGTGGTGACGTCATAAATTTTTTAGGAGGGACGACCAAATACATTTTGATAAAAAATTTACCATGCTTATGATAACTTTAAAACATCTTCAAGATGTCGAAGCATTCGGTTTTGTAGTTAATGAGTAAATCAGTAAAATAAATTTTGCGCATTCATTAATTTTTTTGAGTCACCCTGTATATGCAAATCCAAAAAATATGAATGGAGTGATATATCACAAGCACAGACGCATCATATTTTGTACATTTTAGGTAGGATTTATTTGGCAAACTTTTGAGCTGACGTCATCAAGTTTTTGGAGGGGATAACCAAATATATTTTGACTAAAGATTTATGATGCTCTTTAGCCCCTTAAAACATCTGCAACATTTTAAAACATTCGGGTTAGCAGATTCAAATTTAAATTGCAAAATGTTGTTTTATAATTTTGATTTTTTTTCCAAAAATCTGGACGTTTCGGGTAAAAACTGAATTCGGAGTCGTAAACTACATGTGTAGGACTATGTTATTTTATACAATTTAAAACCTATTTACTATGTACAATTTTGAAGTGACGTCATCGCATTAGTGGTGGGGATGATTAGACAAATTTTGGTTAGCGTTTTACCATCTACATGATATTCCTAATATAAGTACAAAATTTCACAACAATCGGTCCAGTACTTTCGGAGATTATCTGTCTAATAAAAATCCGGGACGGCAGACGGACAGACGGACGGACAGACGGACGGACAGACGGACGGACAGACGGACGGACAGACGGACGGACAGACGGACGGACAGACAGACGGAAATGGGAGACCTATTTCTTCGTCTTCTAGGGGTCATGAAAGATCGAGAAAACGTAAAAGTAGAGAGTCGGCCGACGGACTCGATTACAATACTTCCTTTGCTTACGCTCGGGAAGTAAAAAGTTACAATTGGCGCTTTTTTTACAGTTTTATTATGAGTTATTACTCTCAGGATAGAGAAGAACATCTACCTAACCCCCCCCCCCCCATCCACTCGCCTCCATTTCGGTGATTAATCTTATCTACTCTAATGAAAGGTGGATCTTATAGAGAAATAAAATTAGTAGCTCAAATGAGAAGAGGGTGGGTGGGGCTAGTACTTGCGATGATAAGACTGGACAGTATTAAAAGTAGTAACTAGAATGAAGCGGGAGAGGGTGGGCAGAGCCATTGCTTGCCTATAAAAGACTCTCTAGGAAAAGGTTAAACTTAGCCCCGCCCACCCACCCGTTCTCTCATTTTTTTTTTTCTGAAATAAGAAATAAATTTTATAACAAGTAGTACAACAAAAAAGTTAGGACTAAAGGTTTTTTTACAGTCTAGTTTCTATCGGTTACTTATCACTTCCACTCGCTTACACTCGGAAAGTAAAAATCGGACAAATGAAAAATAAAAATCGAAAAATGAAAAATTGCAATATCGAAAGATTGCAAAGTTGAAAAATTGCAAATCGAAAAATTGCTGAAACGAAAAATTGAAAAATTGATTTTGCAGTTTCAAAATGTTATATAATTTGGATTTGTATTCCAAAAATCTGGATATCTAGGGTGAAAACTCAATACGTGCAGGAGTATTTAATAAATAAAACATAAAAAAGAAAATCTTTTAAATTTTGGAGATAACGTCATCCCATTCGTCGGGGAAGATCAGCCAAATTTTGGTTAAGGTTTTACCATCTACATGATATTCCTAATACATATACATAGATTACCTCCCTAATAAAAATTGATGCAGACGACGGATAGGCGGAAACGCGAAACCATTTTTTTCGTACTCTAGATGCCATAAAAACATGAAGGTGGCAAGTCACCCGATGGACTCGATTACTATACTTCCTCAGCTTAGGCTCAGGAGGTGTAAACATGAACAGTAAGTTGCCATAAACAGAAAACGTCTTCAAATTAGCACTGGACCAGCGAAGTGTCTTTTTATCTCTGTTACTCATAACAAGAAACTTTAAACATAACTAAAAATCCAACGCCGGAGGAGGATTTTTGTTGATGGCACTTTTTTAATACAAGAAAATTTAAACTCTCACAGAACGCCGTTATTTAAAGACCAGTTTAAGCAAAAAATAAATAATTTTAGTATATTTCAGATTGCTGCTGTGAAGAAAATAATACTTTACATTTTAGGAGACTTTTTTTTAAATACATTCTAATTTTTTTCAAGTTTTGGTTAAACGCAGGTCACAATTCTAACTATAGTTACTCGAGTAACTAGTGCGCGAAATAGAGCTATAGTGTACTAGTGCACGAGGATGAAGTCATTATAACGAGGCGCCAGGCGAGTTAAAAACTCATTCGAGCGCAGTAAAGGCGTTTTTCGAACAATTTAAAGACAAGATCTAGCCCGTGCGTTTTAATCATTTAAATTTAAATAACGTGTTGACAACGGTTCATGGGAGGATTCATTGTTATGACGATATATATATATTTTTTTAATAACGTTGATCTCAGTAAAGTGCTGCATATTGAGCGGGTACTAAATAAAAAGGCGCGAAAATGAAAGGCAAAACGTAATTACAGTAAAAATACTCTGTGGACTATAAGTAAGTACTGATAAGAAATCAATTTCAAGAAGTGTTTTAGTGTGGAACTGACTTCCTATCGCAAAAATTTGTCAATGATAATTTTAATTATTAAACAAAACTAAATGTTCGTTGACAGTGAAATCACAGAAAGTTTGATTGTAAATTTTTAGAAATCTTCGTATTACTTTTTATCTAATTCGCAAGAAATTCACGAGATATGCTTTCATTAATCTTTAACTTTAATCATCCCTTTTCAAACTGGTTGATTGAATACGTGCTTGTTTTTCAGATTTAATTTTAGAAGTTGGAAACTAAACTTGGAAACGCTAACAATTTATGTAGGTAAAGTTATGATGAAACTTTACTCTATTATTGGTTGCCTATAAAGTTGCTTTAATCTGATACACTAACACAAGCAGTTACAATAAAGAAAAATGTTTTCCATCACTTTTCAAGAGATATTAATAAAACTAAATAAAATATACAGGGGAGAGGGAAGTTCTGTCCAAATAACCTTCGACCAATTTTATTATGTTAGTGATAATTGCATCAATATCCCATGGAGAAAATTTCTTTTGTTTAAATTTTGAAAAGACAATGCAATTTGGTGTAAAATTCTTAGTTTTCCGAAAAAGACTACTTAATTTTTGATAAATCATTAGACAGAATCTGAAAATTTGCCTTGCGGGAATTATAATGATATATAAGTATAAACGTATAACTTCTAGTACAATGTAGGTACAATGTATAAGAGAAAAAACAGAAGAAAACAACAATATACAAAGCAATAAATTCAAATATTCCTATACCCAAGCGCTATAAACTGATTAAAGTAGAAATTTTGGGCAACAAAAGTACATACCTTAGTAATGAATTTACTGCCCTGAAAACAGTTTAGATCCAATTTATAATTTAATAAAAACTGTTTACACAGGCGTCTGTCTAATATGAATTTGTTTGTTCAATATCACTCTACAATTGCATTCTGTAGCAAACAAACACCCGACAATTTCAGGACTGAAAAAATGACATTTCGTTGTCTGCCATTCTCGTAAACACATATGCAAATTTATTCGTGTTTTCAAACGAAAATGTAAAAATTGATTTTCCGGCCATTCAAATGCACGTTCCATGTTGAATAAAAATCGTAGTTTCTGTCGTTTATTTTGATTTTCTGATTTACCGAAATTTTCTGTTCTGTCGTAAAAAATGTGTGGAGGCAGCAAAATCATTGGAAATCTCTGAAAATTTTATTAATCGAAAATGTTCCGGTGAGCGTTTTGTGACTAAAATCTTTTATACGTTTGAAAAAGAAGTAAAAACACGGTGAGTTTTACGTCTGCATTAAATTTTTATGATCAGTAATGGACTAATGGTGCTGAATTGTAGGAAAAATGTGTCGTCAAACGAGAAACATTAAAAAAATCTGATTTCGATTAGAGAGTAGCTCACAAACATGTAGATAGTCTAAATATAAAGGGATGAGGGTTTGGACTAGTTCATAATGGAGATTGTGGGAGACAACCACTCAGAGACAAAAAATAAATATTTTATTCATTTATAGTACAAAATAAATTCACGCACCTTTATTTACATGAATATAAAAATAACAATATCGTTGCTATACTAATAATTACAGGACAGATCGACCAAAAAAGTTAAGTCAGTTTAGATAGTACGTCATTAACTCTTTTTATCAATTTAATTGAAGCAAATAAATTACTACGTATATATTACTGATTACAACTTTAATTTCTATACACAATCACTTGATCCTTAGACTCTATTTTAGTTCCTTCTTTCGCGGAATGTAGTCATACTAAAACTCAACTCCGTCCAGTAAAATTCTACCTAATCGAGTACCTAGTCTCACGTAATCACAAATTATGACTTGGTAAATAGTTCAATTCTCTTATTTTTCCACCGAGAAACCTCCAAGAGCGTGGGTAAACTGTTGCATGCATACTATATTTATAGCACGTGGAAGAAAATCAATAGCGACATCCAATTTACTTTGCATGTAAACATCAAGATTGAGGAGTTGTTTGATGGAAAACCCGCACGTTCTAAGAAACCAGCCTGCGAAAAAAATTTATGCTAACTCTCGAATCACATTACTAAAATTGTAGAATTTGGTTTATCCAGTCCCTGAACTCGCTAATCCTGGTATACACTCCTGGCTGGTTAGGTTCGGCGCAGCCGATGCCCCAGGAGATCACTCCCGCTAAAAGGAACCTTTTGTCTTCGCGCTGGATTACCATAGGGCCTCCGGAATCCCCTTCACAGGAGTCGAAACCCCCGCGACGCCACCCTGCGCAGATGAAGATGTGGGGGATGTGCTCGATGTAACCGGCCGAACGGTACATGGATTCACAGACGGAGTTGTTGATGACGGGGACGGAGACCTCCTGCAGAATGCTTGGAAGAGGGCCATCTGGAATGATCGGTTTTTAGTAGGCAGGTTTCTAATGTTTGACGAGGTATTATTGTATGTTGTTTATCACCTAACATAAATTTACAACTTAAAAGCTCAAAAGCAAAAACCTGTAATTGGTAAAACTATATATTAGAGAATTAATCGAAACCTGGTGGTCACCAACCGGTGAACAAAGCTGTATATGTTCTGCTTTGTAATGAATCACCCATACTCCGCCTCTGTCTATGATTCGAACGAATTACGTCCTTAGGAAACGCACAAGGGCGGTATATGGGTTGAAAAGTTGACGAGGCAAGATATAAGATGCTCCAATATCTAAATATCGAAAAAATTCTATTGTCGTGCTTGCGTTTTTAGGAGTTTCAGGAATTTTTTTTTGCACAAAATGAAATTTTAGAAATGTAAAGCAAGTCGAAAGTGTGTAATTTTTCTGTGCGAAACAATTTAATTTGTATTTGATTAATTACAAAACCAAGAATTTCGGAAAATATTTGCCTTAATTTCTGTTGTTTATCATTCATTTCAATTCTTAGTATACATAGCCATCTTTTCACAACAAGAAACTTAAAACATAGGGCGGAGCCTAATTGCAAAATCGATATTTCCGTATACAAATTTTCCATTTTAAACACGTTTTAAGTTTCATGTTTTGAAAAGAAATCTACGCATGTCAAAACAAAAAGGCAAAATGTAGCCCCGCCGACCCACCCTTCTCTATTGTGATGATTTTTTATATTCGTGAGCCAAGGGGGCGGAGCTTAACTGCAGAATACTTACTTCTTTACGAGAAATGTTTTTGAGTATCGTGTTGTTCAAAGAATATTTGTATATTAAGAGAAAAAGCCAAAATATTAACCCCACCCACCCACCCCATCTCAATTGTTATGATTTTTCAATTCTTAGAAACTTAATCACGTTTTTGTAAGGAAATATGGATTTTGCAATTAGGCTCCGCCCCTAGGTCTGTCAATAAATGAAAACTTCATTACTAATTATAGATCAGGGCAGGTATGGATGGGACTTAATCTTTGGTTTAAAATTTTTCTTAATATATATAGTATTTTTTTAATAACACAATATTCAAACACATGTGTTTTTGTAGACAAATAATAAGGATATGCAGTTAAGCCCCGCCCCTCAGCTCACGAAGAATAAAAAGAATCATCAGAATTGAAACATGACTATATTTTGCCTTTTTTCTCTTAGTATACATAGCCATCTTTTTTTTACAAGAAACACATGTTTTTGAATATCGTGTTGTTCAAAGAATACTATTATATTAAGAAAAAAAGGCAAAATATAAAAAAAAACTGTAAGGAAATATGGATTTTGCAATTAGGCTCCGCCCCTAGGTTTGCCAACGAATGAAAACGTCATTACTATTTAGATCAGGGCAGGTATGGGTGGGGCTTAATCTTTGGCTTTAATTTTTTGTTAATAAACATAGTGTTTTTTGAATAACAGGATACTCAAAAACATTCTGCAAACATCAGGTTTTCTATAAATTTTATTAAAAATGGTCACTGCGTCTAACTTTCTCGTATTTTACCTAAAGCTATTTGCAATAAATTCCTAGCTCTGAGATTTTTTCAACAACCGCTTATGGGTGCATTATGGACAGCCTACATCTTAAACGGCATCAGTTTTGCGTACACTACAGAGGCACGATTCGAATCTGCCTCTGTATGGTGTGTTGAAGTGTACCTTTTAATTATGGGAATAGCGAATACCCATCTACCAACATAAGAGTAAGAATAATTTTTCACATTATTTTTAAAATATTAGAAAAAAAAACAAAATAAAAAGTTATAATACAGTTTTCCTATTTGAAAATGTTCAATTATTTCATGAATGTGACGTATGTCAATTTTGACAGGTGCAGTGTAATACTAATACTCAACATTGGTATTGTACTTGAGATTTGATCAAAAAAAATAGGGAGAATCATTTTTGGTTTAATCAACAAAAAAATTGCTCGAACGTTATTTCGACAGAACTTCCCTTGCCCTTGAACTACGGTCCAACAAATCTTAAACATATAAATTTTGAATACCTATTTGTCTATCAGAGCCGTGCCTACATATTTTTTCACCTGAGCCATGTTTATGAGATACTTAATAATATTCAACAAAAAATACGTCCCTATATGATTTAAAAAAAAATTTCAACTTAATTTACCTTGCTTTCAATGAAGCAAAATCATCAATGATTTTTTCAAAATCTATTTGATTACATAACTCTTATTCAATGTAAAGAATAGCCATGTTTGACAATTTTTCCTGGCCAAGAGAAGATCTTAGATAATATTTAATTAAGTATCTTATGTTTCTTTCTTCAGAAGCTATAGTAACTGGTAAAATTAAAAATATTCTTAACGCAACTTCCAAATTAGGATGCAATTGAACTAAACCGTATTCGGGAATTATTTTCAAAAGATTCAAAACTGTAGCTGTTCTAATATCCGGAATTATTGCAACTGCTTAACTGATGACATTTCTACAGCATTTATATCATTTGAATATTTAAGAGCAAAGTCGTAACCATTTTGGTTGTGAAATCAGAACGTCCAGTACCCCTTCCATTTCCATTGTACCCAAATATTTGTCTGAAACTTTTTTGTTTCTTATCAAATTCTGTTGAAATATTCATATTTACATCTACATTTTACAGTCATCAAAAATACTTTCAAAAATATGATTCCTCATCTGTTGTAAAGTCAAAGAAAAGCCTCCGATTAGACAAGCAGCTTTATGTATGTTCATCGTTTTGGATTGCAAATTTTTATTTACTTTTTCTGTTTCTTGTAGTATCAAATTCCATGCAGATAACATACATAAAAATTTAAAATGAATTTGTTACTTTCGGCAGATTGCAATGATTTCACTGGTCAACAGCTAAGCTCTAACTTTTATTATAACAGTCAATTATTATTTAATTAGCAATTTTAAATGATATTATAAAGGGCTAAACTAAAACTTAGCTCTCATTTAAAAGTAATCTTAAAATATTATCCTTTGAAAAATACAAAAATCGTACTATTAAGTAATAGGAAACTTTCTATAAGGTGTATTTTTTTGTAATCAAATTGCTACAAACTTCTTGGGAAACAATAAGAAAACTACGTTTAGTAAGTAGAAGACATGTTATCATCATATAAAAAATTTAAAATTAACATATTCTTAAAAGTGGATTTTATACACTCGCACCTTGATTTTTTCCCCAAAAATTGTGACGACGTGAGTGACCATCATAGAGAACGCATCCATCTGGGCATTTTGTCGATAGAAAAACGTTACCAAGATCGATGGAACACCTAAATGCTCGCAGAATACTGCGGGACCATCAAGCGAGAGATCTCCAATAAAATCTATAGGAGACAACCGAAAAAACGTCGGTCTTCGCTGTTTCTTTTGTTTTTTTCGTTTTTTAAACTACATTCGTTGTTTTTTTCTTATTTATGGTTGTTCTTTTGTTAATACTACACTTTTTGCCGTTAAAGATACAAAAATTAAATTGTTTTACCTGATTTTGTGTTTCTAACATCAAATATGCATATTTTTTTTAATTGAGCTAAGTTATAAGATTTATGCTCTTTGTTACAAACACAGAGATAAATTAAACGAAAACATTACAATTATGTCAAAGTTAGAGAGAAAAAATTAAATTTTGTTGACCAGTGATTTTTCATTTGAAGTTATTTTGGAATAATGCTTTGACTGCATTTGCTCTTGAGCTTCACCGCGTTTATGACCTTTTGACGTTGTTTTTAAAACACTCATAAGTGCATCCCATCTACTTGTCGAATTTACAAAAAACGTGTAGGGATCTTTGTATAATTGTAAAAAATGTGGAGTTTTTAATTAATTTCTATCATTTCACATTTTTACATTTTTGACAATTTGGTGCCCCTCGAATTTGTTCATCCGAGGCGAGTGCCTCTCTCGGATCACCCTCGTCCCGGCTCTTTTGTCTATGGAAATTTTAAAGGATTTAGAAAATTTCAGAGTCGGTTTTGTATTTTCTTAAAAAAAAATCAAAGTTTTTTGCACCATTTTGAATTTTTCTAAAAATCTAGATTTTTCCGACATTTTCAAAGTCAAAGACCAGTATTAAGGTCGATTTATAAACTTGTCGCTGACGTTGCTCTTCGCCGTTGACGTTGCCGTCGTATGATAAATACGCAAGGAAGGTATGCGTCGTTTATATTATCCGTTGACGTTGCCGTTGAAAGTTGACAGGCTGGGCCGTTGGGTTTTCAACCAATCAAATTGCGGTCGTGTGCAGTGCTGCCAACTTGAAGGAACATCCCCTGAATTAAGGGGACATTTATCTGGTTGACAGCACTAATTGCACAAAAATCAGATTTTGATAGAGATAATGAGGTTCACATATTAAGCCATTTAATCACCTGTTCACCGAAACCCTCAAATTTTAAATAGCTGCAATCATTTTCTACACAAGTCTACACATATTATAATGAAAAGGTAAAATGTAAGCCCGCCCACCCGCCCTATCTCAATTGTGATGATTTTTTTTATTCCTTGTGAAGCAAGGGGGTGGAGCTTAACTGCAAAATACTTATTTCTTTACAAGAAATTAAAAACATGTTTTTGAGTATCGTGTTGTTCAAACAATACTATGTATATTAAGAAAAAAAGGCAAGATATATACCCCGCTCACCCCCATCCCCCAACCCCCAACCCAGTAGTGATGATTTTTTTTTATTCTTAGAAACTTAAAACACATTTAAAATGGTAATTTTCTTAAGGAAATATGGATTTTGCAATTAGGCTCCGCCCCTGGGTCTGCCAACGAACGAAAACTTCATAACTATTTAGATCAAGGCAGGTATGGGTGGGGCTTAATCTTTGGGTTTAAGTTTTTCTTAATATACCTATGTACATTAGGGTGATTCAAAAAAAAAAAATAATTTTTTTTTTCGTGTCAAAGAGGTTCAAAAGTTTCTTTTCAACGTAAAAAAATACCAGTTAAAATTTGAGCTCTTAATATTAATATTAAGACCGTCCGCATCGCGTTTTTCTATTTCCCATAAGAATAACATGGGAAAATTTTTGTTTGCACCTTCTGATTTTTATTGCTAGCCCGTCGTGTGTCGTGAAAAAAATTCAATCACATATTTTTATAGAGAATTGAACGCTCTACAAAAAGTGTCTCCTATGATTTTGCGAGAAACCTGACTATGATTTTTTAACCCACTGATGCTGAAAATGTTCGGAAAGAGTTTTACTGGCCTTATTATAGCATAAAATTATAAACAATTACTGTTTAAAAAACTAAATTTAAAATGTGTATAAATTTTTGTGGTGATTTATTCCAATAAGACCATCAAATTTATTGTAATGCATCAAAAACGTCAAAATTTGGATAAATTTAACTTTAGCCTAAAATAACTCTTCAACTATCAGGTTTCTCGCACAATCATAGGAGACACTTTTTGTAGAGCGTTCAATTCTCTATAAAAATATGTGATTGAATTTTTTTCACGACACACGACGGGCTAGCAATAAAAATCAGAAGGTGCAAACAAAAATTTTCCCATGTTATTCTTATGGGAAATAGAAAAACGCGATGCGGACGGTCTTAATATTAATATTAAGAGCTCAAATTTTAACTGGTATTTTTTTACGTTGAAAAGAAACTTTTGAACCTCTTTGCACGAAAAAAAAAAAAATTTTTTTTTTTTGAATCACCCTAATGTACATAGTATTCTTCGAATAACACGAGAAAAGCAACGTCAGGGAAATAGTAACTGCCACGGGAACTTCAACATCAACAGCAAGTTTATAAATACTACTTTATCCTCATAGACTACGGTTCTTTGAGAATAATACTGTAAAATTATTTTTAACTACACAGGGTGTTCTGTTTTTAAGGCGTAACACAACTGAGTTTTTAATTGAAATAGGCTATATATTTTTACACATTCGCATGGGCCCATTCCTAAGCTTTATAACCAGAATTTATTTTTGACATTTCGATGCCACGTTGCCACGATATTTTAATTTTCTTGAATTTGTTTGGAAATGAAAGGGTCATTTTTAAAATCTGTGTTATAATGTTTTGTGGAGGGATAAATAAAGGAATGCGTTTTATTATGGTACCAATTAAATTAATTTTCATATACAGGTGTTCATAAAAAATCTAAAACTTTCGAGCACCCTCTGTTTTATTACTTATCTTATTGTATTTTTTGTTCTCATTGATCCAATAAGACGACGTGTATCTTAAAAAAGTAAAAAATCGCAGTAACGAATTTTAAACAGAAAAAATACGTTAAAAAAATAGAATATTAACTATAGAGTGATCTATTTAAAAAATGAAATATAGACACTTAAAAATTGTAATAATTAAACATTTTTATAAACACTCTGTACATGAAAATTTAATTTTTATCATAACAAATTGCATACCTTTATTTATCTATTCACAAAATAATGTAATACGAATTTTAAAAATAAATCACCATATTGCGATTTCTTTTGTAACCTTTCCATTGCTAGAAAATTTGAAGAAAATTGAAATAACGTGGCAACGTCGCATCGAAATGTAAAAAATAAACTGTGGTTGTAAAGCCTAAGAAGAGCACAATTAAAATGTGTAAAATATATAGGATGTTTCATTAAAAAAAAACTTACGCCTTAAAAATATTTCAATTTCTAATAATTAATTATAAACATGATGCGTTTATTGTTACAATTTTATATAGTAGTCCAGTCAAATTAGCAATCAACCTCGGAATGAGAGATAATAAGCTGAATTTTCGTATATACCTTCATTTTAGCGTTCTAAAAGTTGTCTCAAAAGTCTCGTGTCTGCGTCGCAAGTTATTCAAGGTCAAAGGTGAAGAAAAACAGTTTTTTGTGATTATCTCGGTTTCTATTGCTCCAATGATGTTAACATTTATTATCGTAATTGTAGAGCACAAAATTTGGGACAAATTTTATTTGAAACATTTTTTCATGCGCTCAATCGTTTTTGAGATAGAGGGCAGTGAGCGCGCAACGCTCATCCATACGTACTGTAATGCAATCAACCGTGAATATGTGTGAATACTACCTTTAATTTTGAATAATTTGTATTATTTATCAGTTAATACATTGTATTTAAACATTTTACATATTTTCAATACATTCATTTAATGATAATGATACTTACCTACTTTGTGGAATTAAAAACTCTTTAAATGAAATACTTATTGTATGTATATCTTAATTTATTGAAAGTAGATTTTAAGTAGAAAAATAATTAAGTACTTTATCTTTCAAATGTGTAAGTTTTTATATATTAGATAATATATTATACTTGTTATATTATTATATATCTAAAAGTTATATTAATTTTATCTTTGTTAAGTACCTGTACATTTCTTATGATTGAAATTGAATTGCGGTGAAAATCTAGAAATCTTTAATAATTTAAAGAACAAAAGTATTAATTTTCTTCTTCTTCATCGTCATCTTCTGGACGTTCGGGAATTTCTGTTTCATCGTTATCATCTTCGGTGCCCTGAATCGTTGTTTCCAGACCTTCCAGTTATAATCATGATAGAAAAATAAGTATTTAAAAACTTACACATTTTAAAGATATAAATAAATTGAGATATACAATAAATAGTTCATTAAATGCGTTTTTAATTACACAAAGTAGGTAAGTATTATTCAATGAATATGTTGAAAATATGTAAAATGTTTAAATACAATGTATTAATTGATAAATAATACAAATTTTTCAAAATTCAAGGTAGTATTCATAGATATTCACGGTTGATTGCATTACAGTACGTATGGATGAGCGCTGCACGCTCACTGCTCTCTATCTCAAAAACGATTGAGCGCATGAAAAAATGTTTCAAATAAAATTTGTCCCAAATTTTGTGCTCTACAATTATGATAATAGATGTTAACATCACTGGAGCAATAGAAACCGAGATAATCGCAAAAAACTGTTTTTCTTCATCTTTGACCTTGAATAACTTACGACGCAGACACGAGATTTTATGAGACTTTTGACACAACTTTTAAAACGCCAAAATAAAGGTATATACAAAAATTCATCTTATTATCTCTCATTCCGAGATTGATCCCTTTTTTATCCTAAAATGACTGGACTATAGGGTTTAAAACCTTTTGTTATGAAGAAAAATGCTAATAAAACAACAAAATGTAAGTGTCTTGTTATAATGCACGGGCACCGAGTTTGTAATTTACAATTTTCATTAAATAATTTTATTACTGGAATTAATTTAAGTAATCTCTTAGATACAGCTTCGAGAGATATGAGACAATAAAATGTATGTAGATACTATAAATTTTTTGATGACAACCTGTCAGCACTATCGTAAATCAGCAACGGTGGTTATAGGTTTCTGTTACAGTGGATAATTTACAGGTATTAGTCTCTACGAGGTCTCACAAATAAGACTACAATTTTTACTTTCAGGAAATACTTTTTACTCCTCGAGCAACGTTTCATGACCCCTAGAGTATGAAAACACGCTACCATCTGTATGTCATATGTCGTCTGTCTGTCGGAATTGACATACGTGTCCTTGTTGAAATGTTGATTGGAACATTTTCCAATGGGAAAACTCACTAGAAACAGGCACAACCTTGTGCTTTATCAACACATTCATACTTTTCATTAATTTTATCATTTTCAAATTGGGAATTTTAATGCATTAGCTTTGACTATAAAAATAATTGTAAGTAAAAACCGATTTTTACTCTTTAGTGCCGAATATGTCGATGGCACCACGTTTTTTTATTTTTCCACTTTACGACCTTTTCTTCCTTTTTCTGTAACTGCCCAACATAATTATGTCATTTACTATTAGGTCGTGACTACTTTGTGAGTTTAAAAGGAGGATTTTACTTCTTAAAATTGCATGCTTTACTGTTTGCAGTGGTCACGCAAAGTATTTTCTACAGTGACGTTCAAGCTTTGTTCTGTTGGGATAAATAAATAGTTAAACATGTATACTTCTTGGAAAGAAGCCAAACTTGTTTTGACGAATCTTCAACATAATTTAATTATCATTTAAAAACTAATCAACTCTTCCAACTTTTTCTGTTTTTTTTTTAACTTCTACGGAAATAATTTAAATGCGACGTACCCACAGCTTAATAGTTACAGTTTTGAAATTTAGTGTTTTAAAAAAGGAACTATTTTAAACATTTTTGAAAATTACACCAAAATTTTTACTTCAGATTTGATTTCCCTTCTCATTTTCTGTTAAAATATGATAAATCACAGCATGTCACTGCACAAAGGTAAATTCCATTTTAATTAAAAACTGTATCCTTGCTACGAAGACCTGAAGATGACATTAGGAACCCGATTCCCTTTGTGCTACATTAGTTGACAGATCCCACAAACGCAAACACGGTAGAACGTGAAATCGCTCATCCAGACAGAAAATTGAAACATTTGATATTCGCCTGCGGTTTAACATAACAAATTAGCTAAATATTTTAATAAAAATCCCTCGCTTCAATCCCGATTTAGACTCCGAGTAGGAGTCTAATAATAAAGTGGGATTATTACCCTCGTATAAGCGCCCCCATCCTGTGACGTAAGCTGTCCTTCCTACGAAGTTCTCGTCTGTTTGAGGGACACAGACCGGCAAGATGTTCGGCTGGAACGTGACAGGCTCGTAGAATCGCAAAAGGGCCAGGTCGTATTCGAAGGTTCTTGGGTCAAATTGGGGATGGGATGCAACAATCTGCACTCGACGCTCCTGGTGCAAGTAGGGCTCGGATTCGGTAGATAGGTCGTGTTCGCCCAGCCGCAGAAGTAGGTCACTAGGTGGGACGCTGGAGAATCAATAGAATTAAATTAGTGACCGGAATTTACAGCTGACCAGTTGAATGCGTAAATAAAATGTTTACTCTGTTATTTATGGTGTCAACTATATTTGAAACTAATCTTCCCTTATAAATTTACTGAAAAGTATTCTTGTTTCAAAAAAACTCCATTAAGATGTAAACAAATGAGTTAAAAATAAAACACATTTAAATATTTTCACAGCGCTCAGACGGGTGCTAAATTTTATCATAATCGATTCAGTAATGACCAAGTTTGTTTGGTGTTTGTAAACAGAGATAACTTATATGTGTATCTTCAAAGTTTTTTAGTGCTACTACATGGAGAAACTTAATCTGTTTTATAGGAAAACACCTTACTGGATAAAATTGGATCACAAAGCATGGCCATCCTATAAATTTCAGTATCGATTCTACTTTTTTTTTAATAAACTCCTTTCCTTTTTAATACAATTTATGCATACGTGACTATAGTTTCCATCTTAAGTATGTTGTATCAGAAGTTAAGGGTGTTTAGTACACTTGTAGAATATGTATTGTGATCCACTTTGTCCGGAGTTTTAAAATTTTCCACCAACATAGTTTTCGTATCTAATAATAATGCAAATTAAAAATTGTACTTTTTATAACAACAACAAACATCTCTGCTGGTTGGCTGTTTAATTATCAGCAATGGCCGCAAGCGCATCAAAAAAAGACATAAAATTTAATAGAGTGATGAAAAAATAATGAAAGCCATTCCGTTACCTTTGGAGTAGAATCGAGAGATTATATTACGACCTTTCAGCTTTAGCAGGTGCTTGAGAGGAAAATATAGCCTAACTTGATTCAGCAGGGTTGGAACGTGAATTTTGGGGATATATTGAGGTGTTGATTCTTAAAATATCATTTATTTAATGCAAAATCGATTTATCAAAACTTGTGATTCTGTTTTGTGTGTACTATGTAACATAACATTCCAGGTTGTGGTCCTTGGGTGATTTAAATTAGAACATACTTTTTCTACCCTCGTATCTAAAATATCATTTTAAGTTGTCATCTTGACGGCGTTAACTTGGGTTTTAGATACGGATACGAGCTGTGATTAAACAACCACCTAAACCACGAACTGAAGTTAATCACGGTGTTCTTAGTCACGGCGTTGTTTGTTGTCTAATTGATAGTTTGTAAACTCATTGTGAACGATTTTGTGTTAATGATATATTTGAACTTTATCAGTTATCAATACTGAGCAATATAGTTTAACAAAAATTTTATGATGGTCGTGATGTTAGTATTTTATATTTTGTAGAGTAATAAATTTCAAACAATCGTTTTTTAAACACTCACTCCGTCCGTATCTAAATAAACTCGTGACTAAAGAAGCATTTATAAAACTTGTTACAAATTATTAATTATCATGGTTAAAATCTCATTAGATTTTGCCTTAAACAATTATGCACGAAACGATTCATAGAGTTAATTATCCCTTAAACGGTTCATTAAAACTTGGAAACTTTGAGAACAGGAATGCTACCGTTAGTTTTTCTTCAATACTGTACATATCAAAATCGGTATTCCCACCAAAACGTTGATGACGTCATCTGATTAAATTATTAACACTTTATCGAAAAATATGTTCTAGTATTCATGCATCAAGAAGCTCAGTGTCCATAATTTCTTATCTTGAAAATGTTCCTATTAAATTTTGAGTCTTTTTACTTCCCGAGAGTAAGCTAATGAAGTATTGTAATCGATTCTATCGGGCGACTGGCTCCTTTCATGCTTTAGGTCTTCCGTTTCCGTCTGTCTGTTTGTTTGAATTTCTGAAACTACTGGATCAATTGTTGTCAAATTTTATATGTACTTATGTTATCGATATTTATAGATGGTAAAACCCCCACTAACGATGGCATGACGCCAGCTCCAAAATTTACAATAGTAAAAACAATTAAAATTTTATAAAATAAAATATTCCTGTACTTGTTATTTATGAATCCGTTTTCAATTTTTGCCTTAGATATCCAGATTTTGTAAAAAAAATCAATATTGTTTACAATTTAAATGTGAAAGTGCAACATCGAATGCTTTGGAATCTTGTAAAAGTTTCAAGGTAATGAAAAACATGATAAATCGTTAATCAAAATTGTTGAGGTTATTTTTCCTAATAAATATTATTTAAATTTTATAAAATAACATATTCCGGCACTTGATTTGAGTTTTTACCCTTGATGTACAGATCAAAATTGTATAATATTTTAGTTTATTGTTGTGTTTTATCAATGCATTCTTATTTTTTACTTTATAGGAGCTATCACTAAAGAAATTGGAAAATTAAATTTTATATTTGATTTTAAAGTTCATTTTGACAAATATGCAAGCGGCATATTTCAATTGAGATCGTGAAAAAGGCTGGTAATTTTCGAAAAAATAGGGCCGAAAATTACTCCGGGGGGGTGGCAATCTAGAAAAAAATATTCTTAGCTAATTTTAAAAGGTTGTTGAAAAATGAAAAATTGAGCTTTGGAAAAGTTTCCAAAAAATCTACAAAAAATTTTCAGATATAGGTACATCTCAACGTACTAATTCGAAAAATATGAAGGTTTTATTCTTCCAGATCAAAATTTTTTAAATATTCTGTTTGAAAACCAAATTTTTTGGTAATCATTGCCTAATTTTAATCGGCGATTCTGTGAAAATGGCAGGCATTTTTGAAAAAATGAAGCCTAAATAGCTAATTTTCGAAGATGGTAAAAAAATAATCAAAAAAACAATGTTTTAAAAAAATAGACTTTTCAATTTTTTCAATTTCTCAATTTTTCGATGTTCCGATTTTAGAATTTTTCAGTTTTTCGATTTTACAATTTTTCGATTTTTCGATTGTTCGATATATATTTGTTGCATTTGACTTGTGTAAAACTAGATTTGTAAATCTTTAGCACCAATAAAGTATTGATTGATTGATTGATATTTTAATCGTTCAATTTTTAATATTTTAGATTTTTCGATTTATCGAATTTTCGACTTCTCAATTTTTTTATTTTCCAGTTTAATTTTTCTTCAATTGTTCGATATTTTAATTTTTCAGTTTGTAACATTTTAGATTTTTCAATTTTTCGAGTTTTCGCGATATTTCTTCTCGGTTTTAGATTTTTCGGTCTTTCAATTTTTTGATTTAAAATTTTTTTTTCAGTTTATCGTGATTTTGATGTTTCGATTTGTGGGAGCTGAGTCATGATTGTGACCATTTCTTTTCCTCACACATTTCAAGTTTAAAAATAAGACACCATTATCATTATACTTTTGAATTTGATCTTTTTACATACAACAAAATTTTGAAATTAGAATTTTCTGGTTTCGTTCAATTGTTTGTGTTTCCAAGTTGGTATCACGTTATTTCGTTATAACCTAACTTTTTTGACATATTGTGTCTATGTAGAATTCCCCGACCAAAACTCGAAATATCCGGTTTGAACTTCAAATTTTGTAAAAATCCTAAAATCTTCCACATTTCAGTTGGAAAAGTGGTAGTATTTTTCGACGAAATGAAGTCGAAAATAACTTCTAGAGTTCGGGATCTACAAGGAAATGTCTTTGGCTAAGTTTCGAAGATTGTTGAAAAATGATATGACGTCACCAAATTTTTGGTGGGAACTGTCAATAAATTATGGTCAGCGTTAAAACCATATATCTAATAGTACTATATTGCTAGCTGGCCTCAAAAGATTCCGAAAACATAACGGTAGAGCAATATATCGGACCTCTCTGTCTCTCTGTGGTACCAAACAGTACTGCGCATGCACTCGTACTTGGTTGATTTGTAGTGGATAGCGTGACTGGCTGCGTTTTGACATTTCGTACTTTCGCTTCTATTTTGTGTACATGCGCACAGACCCTCGGTACTCTTATAGACAGAAAACAACATCTTCTGTCTCTCTCTGTCCGTGAACACCGTTTGTATGTTACTTCTGAAGAGCTAGCAATATAGTACTATTAGATATATGGTTAAAACATACGTAAAATTTCGCAACTGTTAAATTAGTAGTTTTAGAGTAATAAACGCGTCATAGACCATAGAGAACAGACATATGAAACGGGAGAACTACTTTTTCATATTCTAAGATGTCGAGAAAACATTAAATTACAATACAAACTATATTATGCTCCTCAAATAAAAAGAAATTTAAAACAAAAAATTCAACTAATATACATGGATAAAATTGTTCTGGTATATTTCCTCGCCTCGGAAGGACAGCCATTTATAGCCGATTTTTCGTTTTCACTCAAGATCTTTAAAGTTTTTTTTGAAGATGGTAAAGATTCAATAAATTTTAATAATTACCCAGATTTAGAAGAAATTTCTTATAATATCCAGGACAAACAGTACAATTTGAAAATCCAAATTCAATTTATTTCAAAATAAGGTGTACAATCAGAGAATATTTTGTGTTGACGTCATCAATTAAGGGATAGGTGAATAAATTTAGTAGACTTGCCTTAAATTGTGAACTATACAAAGCTACGAAAACTTAACCTTTGTCAATCGTTAAAATGGCTATATTGTAAGTAAGAATTTTAAAATACTGGTTTAATTAATGTATTCCTACACACAGTCATGTAAGGACTATTCGTAAATCCGATGTTTCAAGGTAATGTTTACTAAAAAAATGGTAAAATCTATAACGGGTACATAAATAACACACTACTGAAATTGCATAAATAAATTATTTGTTTACATAATGTTTAAATTCATCACATATGTTTTAAAACGCTAAGTGGTGTAAACAAAGGACGGCAATAAATTACACGATTTTAGACAATATAATGATAATGAAACTGTATTCGAAAAACCATAATTACCAATTAACATGTAATTTACATTTGATTTCCGTACTTATAAGACAAGATATTGTTCCAAAAGATAGATGATACAAGAAAATGAATATGTTTGTAAACACAATAAATTGTGAATGTTAAAAACACCATATTTTAAATTGATCATAATAAAATTTGCGAAATGAATAAAAAAATAAATAAATAAATACGGGTAGCAAAATCGTTAACTTATTCATTCAACGAACCAACAGCGTTTGTAACTGGTTGACAAATGAGCAATATCTTTCGTTAAAATAAAGATGCTAACCAGGGGAATATTGCAGACTTTTTACACTGGAGTATTTTCATATGAATTATTCAAGATTACAATTTCTAATTGAAATAAAAATACCACTTCTGCGTTTGCTTCGTAAATGTTTCTTTTTGTAAGACGTATTTGCATACGCCTCCCTTCTGCTTCCACAAACTTTGACCACAGAGTTTGTACGCCTCCGCGTAAACGCGTACTTCTGATTGCGTGATTATTCCTAATGAATGGGGTTTTATTCATTAGTTGGAAATATTAATGTCTGCTTAAAATGCTTCTTTATCAAGATTTTGAAGGTCATCACTCAAGTCAACGAAGGACACTTTTTATGGCCTGATGAGCTCAGTGCTCGTGTCTGTGTCACGGAAGAAATTCACTTATTTTAAATAAATTAAATCCATTTAAACATTTAGACGTTGCATAAATTTTTAAAGTTTTCAAGGTGCTGCGTTCCGGTTGGATTCAGAGATACCAGTGCAAACGATACTGCAGAGGATAACGGTGTTTAGCAGACTTCCTCTGTGAGAGAAAATAAAATAAATATTCACACGTGATAAAGCAGGAATAAAGCAGCAGGAATGGTATTTGCTTTGTTACCAGACAATTTACTATTTCAGTGGATTTGGAATTGGATATTGACGTTGAACTGTTGCAGTAGAACAGAGTCACGCTATGGGATAAAAGAAAGTTTCCTTTTTTTCTCCAGAGATTTATACTCCGGGATCCTTAAAAGGAACTACAGCTTCCCAGCAAAGCACAAGTAAAACTGCTTTCATGCTAAAATGTAATTTTATGTCAGAAATAAACTCCACAACCGATATGTGGCGTTTTATTTTTAGAGTCCCTCAGTGTTTTGGTCTTTCAAAAAGGGATCCAAATTTTGAGTGATGAATACTACATAAGTGTGTAAGAGAAATAAAAATTTTGAAATACGATACGACAGTCGAATTTTAATTGAGGATTTTTTATAAATTGAACAAAGTAATTTTAATGCAATTGTTAATAGTTCAATTGTTGCAACAACAAAATACAAAACTACTTAAACTTAACAGCTCTGAGGACAGTAATTTTTAACCAACTCATTACGTTGTAATTTGGATGTTTTGCAGCAATAATTTTCAAGATCATTTTTAAATGTTATGAACATCATTTGCATGCTGGTGAACTCTATGGATCCATAAAAAATTGTTTATCCTTTCACTTCGACGTAATTAGGTTTATATATAATCCCGCACATTTTACATTCGTATAAAAATGCGAATAATACGAAACCTCCGAAACACCGCTGCTAGAGGAAAATCCGAAAAAATCCAATTCATAAGCGAAGAATGGTATCCCATTGAAAAGCGAATAAAAAATCTAGCCAAGGGCTTTATATAAATGTAAATTTTAAAACTACATCAAAAGAAATATCTGAAAAGTGGAAACAGTGGAATCTGCGTTGGCCGGAAAACGAAGGTATATTTTCAGAATTTCAGCCTTTTATTAAATTTTGCGGCCGTGAACGAGCCGTGTAATTTTTTAATTAAGATAATTTACTCTTGTTCGTAAATTTTACTGTTTGAAGTTTAATTAAAATTTTTCTTTATTTAAAGATGCAAATTGTTCTTTTAGTACAGATTAAGTTAATGGATTCGCAAAAACTTTTCGACAGGTTTTATGTCTCGAAAGGAAATGATTGGCAGAAAGTTACTTTTAATATCCATAAACGAGCACATCATCTTATAATAAAAGCGCTTTAGCACTATACGGAGGAAGACGTCAATTAAATGTCCTGGACATAAACTGTTATTTAAAGACGCCTTCCGGCTATTAGACCCGTTTATAACTTTTTGATTTTCAGCATCAAAACATTTTTCAGTCTGAACAGTGTAGCCAAACATTTTTTGCGAGAGCAAAAGTAGGGTAAGAGTGCCCGCGAGCACGCAGTTTGTAAGTTAGTATATGTAATCGTGTTTTAATTTGTCACAAATATAACTACAGCATAAATAAATAAAGTTATTTACTATTTTTCAAAAAGTGTCGGCGGATTAATAGATTAGATTGAGTTGTGCACTCTCAGGACAATTCCCTCTACCACGTATTCAAAAAAGAAGTAAACACAGTAAAAACTTACTTGTCCACACAGTGAGCCGCCGTAATAGCCCAGTTCTCATTCAGAAGTGCAGCCCCACATTTATGGAGATATGTAGAAGTCCTCCATTGTCTCAAGGATATCTGCCAAGGCCATTTTCCAAAGGATGACTTCTCGCCTCCGACTATCCTGCCTTCAGGATACATCCTCCGACCACACACTGTTGCCAACAACAGAGCCGAACTTAACATAACCATCATGAATTCGAAACATTAATAACTTTTTTGACGATTATTTTTAATAAGGTCATAAAACCACTCATAAACTTCAGTATTTACGCCAAGACGTGATCATCACAGTTTTTTAGTCGTAAAGTTGCGTTTGCACTGAACTTTAATTAACCGTACTACAGGACGAACATCACTTAAATTTCTTGTGGCACTTATTGGCGATCAAATGCAAACGCGTCTTGTATTGTCTTATTTTTAAGTGTCGAGGTTGTAGACCAACCAATGGTTAGAGCTTCAACTTACCTTGAAAGTTCAAGAACCATTTCAGATGACAGGGAGTGACTTTGATCATTTCCTCTGTTTTGTAGTTTGAATTAGTGGACGACAGGTGTCCACGTACTGACGAGTAGAATTAGAGCTCGGAATTAGATTACGTTGACGAAATGGAATCAGTTTTGATTTATTTATTTTTCTTAGTTCAGAGCCAGAACAAACGAGTCCAGCTCTGTGTTAATAAAAGATTCTGTGATCGTTTTACGCTCGTTAACTTTAGTAATTGTCGTTGTACATTGTTTTTTGTCTACTTTAATATGCTAAAAGCTACAATTCCCGTTTTTAGAAAACCTCTTATCTAGAATAATAAAGTCACAAAGGTATACTAAACAGCGTAATGGATTTTATATTTTATAAAATCCACTTCCTGATTTCTTTTCCGAATTTAGTACACGGAAAGTGTAGGAAATATTAAAAGGTCACCAAATTATTGATGAATAAAATCTTGAAACAACTTTACGACTTTTTACAGTTAGTTAATTAAAAAGAAAAGTTTTGTCAGTAACAGTATTCATAGCCCAAAGTTTTGAGATCACGGCAATATTTTATGCTAATTCAAACAAAACAGTTTTTTCATTTATCCTTTATTTCCTTGGTGTAATAAATAAAAAATTAATTTAATTAAAAAGCCTAAAACTATTATGACATGTAATGTTACCTCTAATTTTTTAGAAACTAGCTGCCTCGGACTTATTTTTGTGGCGATTAACACGCTGGAAAATATTTTTAATTAAAAATGTCCGTTGCTCTTTTAGAGATAAGCTTCCAGGGTTAGTTTTAAACAGACAAATTTAATCTTTTAAAACTCACGAAACTGTAACAGCATATAATTAAATGGACGAAGTTATCTCAATGAATGGTTACTTTACTTTTCTCCGTGAAACTGCCTCTGAGGCAACAAATTTCTATATTGAGACTTGTCGTTTCGTCTGGTTAATAAAATTTTCAAAATAATACTCGTACCAAGTTCGTCCGTTCCTGAAAAATGAGCTTCACAAAGGCTTTTAGCTTTTGACTTGTTACCAGTAAATTTTGAGGTAATTTATTTTCTCTTGTTTCATCGCCTACATACGTACAACTTTTGTGAAGCCAAGTTTCTTATTTATCGATCCTCGGAGATGGCATTTGCATTACGCGGGTGTCGTTGACGCGATAAGATTATAAATGAACGCGTTATCAACATTGCAAAGTTTCCTTCTTTAAAATATGCATCAAATAAAATTAAAAAACGGAGGAAACAAAGCGTTAGTATACTCTGCACGACTTTTACGAAGCGCCTGTAAATACTCGTTGAAGTTGGCCGGTTCCAGAACCATTACCTTGTTATATAAATTTAATTTTTTAGGAAATAATGTTATGTAAATATACCAAAAGCCAAAAATAAGAGAACCCATTAGTCACCGAATTTTGGAGTTTCACAAATACTAATACAACTTTCTTATAACACTGACTTATGGGTTTTCTCGAATGTCTGATTAAATTATTTCTAGTATTTGCTAAATGTAGAAAGTTGTGTTATTTATTTAATGCAAGGTTCATAATATAATCAATTCCAATAATCCGAATCATTAGAGTTTGATTTGAAAAAGTAAACAAAATATTAATGAATGTTCTACAAAATTAACACAGTCCGCTAGCTAGTTTAATGAAAACCAGGGACTACATTTTCGTTTTTCTGTGCTTTTAAAATTTAAAATTATTTTAGGATTTAATAGGGTCCCTTTAACTATTTTGATATTTTTTCGATATTTCATAACACCAAAATTTGCAAAAATTAGTCTACTCTGTCTGTCTGTCTGTCGTCTGTCACATGTTGGCGATTTTATTAGACAACTAATGATAAATAAATTTAGAGACCCCTTTGTTTTGTTTTTGAAAAAGTTTGAAAGAATCTCAGGGGACCCTGGTATATTTTTTAGATATGTGGAAGAATCTTAGTCCCTTGTGTTTTCGGTTTTCAAATAATTTGAAAGAATCTTCCTTTATGTTTTATTTTTGAAGGAATCTAAAAAATGCTGTGGACCTCTGGGGCTTTTTTTCTGAATAAATTTGAAAAGATCTGGAGACCCTGGTGTTTTGTTTCTAAAAGAGTTTGAAACAGTCTATTGTCTTTTTTCTGAGATTATCAAAGATTCTTTGGAGACTCATATTTTTTTTTTTGAAAAAAAAAAATTAAAAGATCTTGGGGTTTTTGTCTCTTTCAGTATTAACTGACAGAAATTTCAACATAAAAAATTAAGTTCACACCAACAATTATAAAATAACATACTTCTACACTTGTGGTTTATGAATCCGTCTCGATTTTTAACACTGGATGTCCAGATTTTTGAAAAAAGTCAATATTGCAAAACATTTTTCAATTTAACTTTGAAACTACAAAATCGAATGTTATAAAATATTGCAAACGTTTTAAGGTTATCGTAGTTAATCTTCTATCAAAACTTATCCGCTTATTTTTGCCCAAAAATTTTAGGGAATAAATGTTACCTAAAATTCTCAAAATCAAATTTTGTCATTTTTTGGAAAAACTGGATATACCTACTATTCTTAAAAGATGGCATTGAGTGAAGAAAATAAATGGACTTGTCGAATACAACAAATACTCTTGGTATACTAAATTATTTTTCGAATTTGAAACTTTGGTAGCTGAAATTACAGGGTCATCCATAAATTACGTTACCCAGATTTTGTGGTTCTTTGACCTCCCCTCCCCTATATCACAGTGTGTGTGACGTCACATGTTTTGCTATCGATACCCTCTACACCTCACTAAAATGTATTTAGTTAAATTTCAAAATTGGCGAAAATGTGTCGCAATTTGCACAAAGAAAATGGTGGAAATTTCAAAAGTGTAAGAAAAAAAATACCACATAAGGTAATCGAATCGAGAGTCTTCACGTTACGATCTGGACACACTAACCAGTGAGTAGTTTGAAATGTTTGCGAAAATTTGAACGCCTAGGAGCAAAAATCAAGGTAGATTCATAAGCCATAAGTAGAGGAGTATCTTATTTTATAAAATTTAAATAGTATTTATTACGAAAAATTTGAGGTCACGTTGTTAAAGTATTGGTGGGGATAATTAGAAAAAATTTGGTTAGGTGGCCTTTTTTTTAATGGGATCCTACTTTTCAAAATTATTAGCTTAAACAATTCTCGAGACCGAAAAACAAGATAATATGAATTTTGGTTAACATTTTATCATCTAGACAATGTTCCTAACATACATATAAAATTTTACAACAATCGGTTTCGTAGTTTGAAAGATTATATTTGTCTAATACAAAAATTAAATCATTAAGCATCTGATAATACCAAAGATTGGATTCAGGTTATTTAGACAGAACTTTCCTTGCTCCCGAAGGACAGTACCTACAAAGTCAGTTTTTAGAAAAATTACGAGATCAGATTTTACGATTTTTTTATGTTTATTCGGCAAAATGTTGGGATGATGTCATCAATTTTTACGAAGAGATCAACGAATAAATTTTGATTAATGATGCACCTTATTACGATTGCCTTAAACCGTTTGAAAAATTTTAGAACATACACTGTGCAGATTCAAAGTTAAATTGTAAAATGTTACACAATTTTGAGTTTTTTTCCAAAAATATTGATGTCTAGAGTACTACTGATTACACAAAAACTAAAATATGAACAAAAGTTTTGGAGATTATTGGTCTAATAAAAATCGACATAGGCGATAGATGGCAGAGAGAAGGAAACGGGAGACTTATTATTTCATACTCTAGGATCATTACTTGCCGGATACACCTTCTTACAATACTTCCTTAGCTTGTTCTGGAAGTAAAAAATGATCATACATTAAGATTGTATCAATCGCTCGTTTTTGCTTTGTACGTGGAATAAATATTTAGTAATTTGAGATCTCATTTACGAACAATGAAATGTTCATCACTCTGTACACCGTAACATATATTAAATGGAACAGTATACGATCTATAATTGTTTTCCAAGCTACTGTGTTTCATCCGTTAGTTATTAAAGTAACTGGAAGACATGTTGTCATCCGTATCAGAATCAATAAGTGCAAATATTAGACAAATGGTGATTGATGAAGATAAAGCTGTTCATTTTCCTCCTTAAAGGAAAATTCTGTAGATCTAAGCCGATAAACATACCCCAGCAACATAAATATATTTTTAGATTTTCTCACACTCTATCTCTGGAAAGAGCTTTCTCTTTGTCTGATAACTTGTTAGTTGATTTCCCCGGAATACGACTTTATTTGAACCCTTTAAGTAAAACAAAGGCTTGTTGATTTTGTGGGTTTGTAGGATCCGTTAATATATTCTTTAACATTTCCTTGTAACTCGTTCAGAAACGTGACTTCTAAATGCTTACAATGCACTTCCACCGGGAATGTAATTTTCAGACCACGTTAATTAACGTAGACTGATTGCGGTTGAAATATTTATGCAGAGTTTAAATCATCGCAGATTACAAACTATATTAATTTTAAACGTGGTTTCAAATGTGTAGATAACTTTTGGAATGTAATGGAATTGCTTCTAGCTACTCCAAACATTGTAAACCACGAGTATTGAACATTAACATAATTAATAATAATTTTTTAATATTTGACTTCTAAAACTGTACAATGAAATACTGTAGCCGTACATACATTATGTCAGCCGTTGACACCTGTCATTTCAAATGCCGTTACCTATACTGTTAATTAAAACACGCATTTTTGTTCTAGGTTGATCTGAACGAGAAGAAATACCATCATAGAATGGGATTCGATGAAGGGGAACGTTCGATTGAGTTTACAGACTGGGACATAATCATACACCGTCTTCGTCTGAGAGATCGCCTTTGGTAGTCTCTGCATAGTTTTGAAAATTTATAAGATCGAGATTAACCAAACAAGCGCTCGCTTTCATTGTTGTTTGCGTTAGAAATTATCTCAAAAAAAAAATTTTTGCTTTTGCGAAAGTGTCAAACTGCACTTGATGTTTCCGAAGATTCTTTACTCAGGTAGCGATAATTATTTGTTGCTACAAAACTGACGTTGTCACGCCACTGGAAAATCTTTAAACATTAATTACCCCAGAAACCTTTATCGCAGGAAGTTTATGAATTCAGTGGGGGAGTTTGTCAGCATGCTCCTAAGTGGCCTTAATGAGGGGGAAATGAAACGTCGATTTAATTCGGTACTAGATCGTGGACAAGTTTTTAATACTTTTGGACGGAAGCTTTGTTTTAGAAGAGTAATCGGTTAACAGATAAGATATTTCCAATTTTAAATGGTTTTGTAAATCATGTTGTAAAAAATTTAGAAATTCTAAATTGATGGTGATTTATATTTTTAAACTTCTCATTGTCTAAAATATATTACACTTTTGAAAAAAATTTCAAATCAATGTTGTCTCTATTTATGGCGAAACCGGAAGTATGCTGATTACGTTTATGATGTTTCTAAGTAGCCTTTAAATGTATTGATTCTCTTTGCTTTATGAGACAGCAGACTCAAATCATGTTAACCGATCAGTTGGGTCTAAACACGCCATATTATTTATGATGATTCACTAGAAAGTGTTTGGGTAAATACTGAGTTTATCACCGGTGGGTGGCCTACGCCTATCTTTCTTGACCGGAAACTAAGAAACTATTGACCTCGAAAAAAATTCCAATCCAAAGACCACATTACTCACCATCCGTGAAGTCGCTCATGTTGACCGGTCGAATTTCCGCAGTCTCTTCCGTCGTCGGAGGAGTAACCGCAGCGGTAACAGGTGACGATTGCGGTGTAACTTCTGCAGCGGCCGTTGCCGACACATTCAAGGTCACCGAGGAGGTTGTGGATTCCAAAGGTATATACGTGATGGACGGTTTACTTGCACTTTCAGTCGTCGCAGCAGCGGTCGTCGAAGACGCAGAGGAGGACGACGTCGACTGGGTGGTACTCGGCTGGACGCTGGGTAAAGGAACCCAATTATCCGCAGTCGTGAGGGGAATCCACTCTTGGAAAGTACAAATCGTTAACAGTGCCGTGTTTTGGAGAAAAAAGTAGAACACAGAGCGAATAAATAAAAGTCGTGTGGACATTTAACGGAATTTATACTACAGTTAGCCAGTACGTAAAAATTATCGATAAAGCCGAAGATGTAATTGGCCATTAAAAGGTGTAATTACTTACCTTCACTTGTACTGTTACCGGAACTGGTCGTTGTTGGTACCGAAACATTTTTGTTGCTGTCGAGAATGGTCCAGGTGACTATTGAACCTGTGGTGGTACTCGACGGTTTCTCCGTCGTCGGGATTTTGCTACTTGCGGTCACGTTCTTGTTGACTGCTGTTGTGGGTTTAGAAGTCGTAGTAGTAGGTTTTTGCGTGGTAGTTTTAGTGGTAGTACTGGGCGTAGTTGTCGTTTTCGTTACTTTTGTAGGTTTCGGTGTTGTCAGAGTTTTCTTAGTTGTAGACGCACTAGGTTTCGACGTTGTAATAGTAACAGGTTTTTTTGTAGTTGTCGCCGGTTTTTTCGCTGTTGTACTAGGTTTTTTCGTCGTAGTTGTAACTGATGGCTTCCGTGTCGCCGTAGTAGTAGTAGATTTCCTAGTCGTTATTGTAGTAGGTCTTCGGGTTGTGCCCACAGTGGGTTTCTTTGTTGTATGTATTTCAGGTTTGGTAGGTTTTTTCGTTGTCGATCTAGTCGGTTTCGTAGTGTTCTTGTTAGGTTTTGGGGTGGTTTTCGTTGGTTTTTGTTTAGGTGTTGTTTTAGAAGTAGTAGGTTTGGGTTTAGCTATTGTTGTTTTTGTTGCAGTTTCCGCAGGTATGCTCCCATCTACCGCCTGGAACGTGGTCAACTTATAACTCACGGTCGTTGTTTCTTCTTGTTTGACAGGTGGAGGTTTCTGTGTAGTCGTTGTAGTTGTTGTCGTTGTCGTCGTTGTCGTCGTCGTCGTCGTCGTGGTTGGTTTCGTTGTCCTTTCAGTCTTAGTTGATGTTGTTAATGGCCTTATTGTACTCGAGAGCCTCTGGGGAGGTTCTCGTGCAGGAATGATGTCACTTTCTATGCTGTTGTCTATTATATCATGAACCGGCTCTATATGGCAGCAGGAACCAAAATAAAATCTGTCTATACAAGTCCCCAAATGGGTACCATTAGCTTTCAGACAATCTATGGCAAACATGCAGACACCACTCTGGTTGGTTTTCCTCGATATACACGGTAGATTACGTATATTTCTACCCGCGGTACCTAAAAAAACAATAAATCAAAGATAGCTTCATAAATATCGCAGAGGAAGTGTGTCAGTAATACATATATTCCCACACAAGAAAAACGAGTGATTGCATCTCATAAAGAACGCGACTATAACTGTTGTTATTGTTCCACTGTTCCAATTTCGTGGTCAATTTTAATTTTCACTGCGTATAGGTCACTCCTAACGGAACTCACTGACCCAAATTCAGACAAATAAGCTTACCTTTAATAATAATAGAGTCTTTACTATGTAAGATTGACCATTTTTGTGCATTCCGAAAACTGGTCAACTCTCCCAGGATGATGTTTGCTGCTGGTTAACGGTGCATGCATTCCGTACTAAACAGCTGACTGTCTCTTTCTAACCATGACGTTACTGGTCCCGTTACCTTGGCCCAGTGGTACTACTGGTCGCGGTGTTAATCCCGCCGAAATTGACACAATTACTAACGAAGGGCCAACTTTCAAATCCGAACACCGACGATCTCCGTGTTTAAAATCGCATCTCTCTGCACGTTGAATAAATCTTTAATTAAGCTCGAGTCGCAAAAGCCGAACAGGTTGAATACGAAGCTGGAAATGTGATCTTTTACACTCTACCGGAAACGTGACAAAAAGTGGTTTCAGGACCGAAAAAGTCCAAAAGGTGCAAGAATTCCTCCGTGTCGTCTAAATTAAGTGCCGTGAACTGTAAGACAGCATCAGTTCTGATCTTTTTTCGCCGGCGTTGTCGGATGGTAAAATAAATTCCTTTTAAGTTCGATCCGCCGAGTAATACTGCAGAAGATAAAAATATTTCTCGTTTTCGCGAAATCTCATTTACTGACGACGTTCCGTTAGTTCGGATTCAAACTGAATCGAATTATTTATGGGCAAAATGCCATTAAGGAAGTTCGCACGGGAGATCTCATCAATTATCGAGTCCATTATGATTCATTTCCTCGCAATAATTCTGTCAATCGTATAATTAATTTCGCGCTGTGTAGTGTCCATTTCCTTAACCGTGTATTATGTAAATTGACAATGCTTTCACGTACGTCTGCATGCATTAGCGAGACTGGAATCGGCAATAACTATGTCGTAATATTATGGAAATAACAACAACAACAATCGCCTTGATCCTGATTTACAAATAAAAGGTCGAGGCTATTGACAGCTTTTGGTATTACCGCTACTTCTCACACCCAAGATATGATTCAACGGGTGAAACCCAACTCTTCCCCTTTTGGCACCGATGACCCACTAACCGTAGGAACTGAAACAATCTTAACGACTTATTTTTTTTCAACAATGGTCAACAGGGAAAGTTAAACCCACATCGATATCAGTTTTTGGAAGGAAAGTTTTGAGTCATCCGCTGAATTCCCAGAGTGAGAACGGATCAAAATTTATGTCTGGACAATTTTCAGTACGAAGACTTGCACAAAATGCAAATGCAATCGGAAGTAGCTTTTCAGGAAAGCTTATTCAGACTGAATTAAACTTTTATTAACTGAAGAGTGAATAATGAACGCATTTCAATGAATAGAGTTGGCAAAGTTTTAGGTAAGTTGCAACACAGATTCCGCATTTACTTATGACGCCGTAACTAATTGAATAAAAGGTTTTTTTGTTGTCTGAGATTTCGTATGCTTCGTACAATGATCCGTAAAATAAATAGTAAAATAACGGTGTTTTTATCTGAAATAAGTCTGTTGCAAACACCGACTGTATTTATATACAAAGTAAAAGGTCTAATTATCTCTTTTGTGGTTTTATAAAAAGTATGTAATTCATAAAGTAAAATAGATCTTATACTTTTGGTACAAATTGACGATCTGTGTTTAGTTTTTTGTTTTGCTAGTTATGTTTTTTCTGCAATAAATCTTAATGTTGGATACTATGTCGAATGCAACATGTATTTTGCTTCATGCATCTATTTGCATCACCATGTAGATAATTTTAGAGCTCATAAATTTTCACAGACCATAAAGTCCGCATCAACTGTGAAATTATGTGTTTATCTAAGTACAAAGTTAGATTCATTGACAGTTTGTACATATTGTCTTCACAACAATTAATATTTTAATCATTTGATCAAGGACGATGTATATGTAACTACTGTTCTAATTATAAACAGTAAAATATGATTGTAAGATTTGGTTATATTATTTCCACTTGCAAATTGTCTTTCGTATAGAGATTTAAGATTTACTCTCAGAACTCGGCTTTTGTTATATTTTATACGAAATTGATGCAAATCTTGTCGTAAGATAATGGCATCATTAGAGTATGTAAGCGATTCTATAGCACGAGCTACGATATCTACGATACATGCAGTTACAGTATAATAAAGTTCTGCCTGTATTTTCATCCCGTTAGCTCCAATTAGAGATAACGAAGTTGTTCACTTAATTATTTTTTCTTGAAATTGTGTACCCAAGCTCTCCTGTAGAGTAAATCACTGAAATAAAATTATAATTTTTTTCCTGGGAACAGATGCAACCGGAGATGTAATCATTATGAACTTGTAATAGTAGATGCAAAAAATACTAACAGAGGAAACGAATTCTTAACATGTTTCTTTTTCATTGTTGTCTTACATTTCAGTTATGGAAGAACATAGTATACACAGTGTATCTCGTTGGTCGTTAGTAATTCATTATTTATAATTTGCGGTCAACAACATATAATTTTATTCTTCTTATTTTTCTTTCTTTGTGTGCTGTTGCTCTGGAAATTAATAGGAAATTGTGAATTAGAGCACTAAAGTTTAGTTATTTATAACGAATACGTGTATACATAAACGTCAAGACCGAGTCGAATCACATGTCGTAGTGATTTTTCCTGAAATTATCAAAATTTGTAGAAATTTTCAAAAATTGTCTTTTGATTTGATGTTAAAATAAAGGGAATCGAGAGATTTATCTTCGCTCTCTCTCTCTCTCCTCTCTTGGACCTTCCGTTCTTCTGGTTCTTCAACTTAAGATCCCTTTTATGAAAGTGGCGAAACGTCTAAAGCTACTTTTTTCATATATAGGGCGCGTGCTGGAGATCTCATTAATTATTATTAGAGAGACAAAAACAGAAGGACTAAAATTGTATGGTTCTTTGAGTAGCATACACTAAAGTTATTTTAACAACCTCTTCCTAGGTTTTAGTTTGTTTTTGAAATTCTGAGGCGATGTTGCCACGTTATTCTACGTTTTCTGTTTTTTTTTTCAGTAATGCAAGGGTTTACAACAATATTGCAATAATTCACGGGACTCCGAGATTCTTTCAAATTACTTCAAAAACATGGCAATGGATGCCCAAGATTCTTTCAAATTACTTTAAAAACCAGGTAAGGGATTCCTAAGATTCTTTCAAACTACTTCAAAAACAAAATAAAAAGGGCCCCCGAGATCGTTCAAACTACTTCAAAAACCCGGCACAAGGGGTTCCCGAGATTCTTTCAAACTACTTCAAAAACAAAAGATAAGAGATCCTCGAGTTTCTTTCAAACTATGTACTAAGAAACAAACCAAAAGCGGTTCCCGAAATTCTTTTAAATTACTTCAAAATCTAGGTAAAATTCTTTCAAACTACTTCAGAAATAAAACAAAAGTAGTCCCAGAGATTCTTCAAACTTTTTCAAAAACCACGAGAGGTATCCGAGATTCTTTGAAATTGCTTCTAAATAATACACAGAAGGATCCCCTAGATTTTTTATTTAAAAGAGAAGACATCACCGGTATGAACGGATTCGAGCATCTGGAAGTAATCCAAATTTGATATACCTTCTTTTAAAGTTAGAATATAGAATCTGTATTCTAATCTGTGTAGTATCTGTATTCTATATTCTAAGCTTTTAAGTGAAGGAAAGTCAGCAGGTCCCATCTGTCCCTGGCAATGTCAAGGAGAAATAAACAGAGTTGCGATATTTATTGTTGTATCCATTAAATAAAATTTTAAATTGTATATAAAAAATTACAATTTTAAAATATGTATACCGATATTTCAATTTTTTCAAATAAAGCATTCTATATGTTATCACATTTTACTCTATTTTTTATTCTCTTTTTTTCGATATGTATAAAATACTTCTATTGGGTTTCTAATTTGAAAAAAACGTAAGTATAGATATTTGAAAATTGTAATAATTTAATTTTTGTTTGTACACACTCGGCAGAATAAAACTCAATTTTATTTATACTACATCGTGTACTTTTATTTATCTCTCCACAAAATTTTGTATTACAGATTTTGAAAATTGCGGTTTTTTTGTAAACCCTTCCATTGCTAAAAAAATTTTGAGAAAAGTGCAATAATGTGGCAACATCGCAATATAATTTCAAAGTAAATGCTGAGAGAACTGTACAACTTTCATCTTTAACGTTTTTTCTATTTCTAATAATTAATGAATAATGAGCAACCGAGGATCGAGCAGGTGACTAACCCTATATATATGTAAAAAATCGGAACAAAGGAAAGAATATTTTTGACCTTATGTTGTTCTATACAAATTTTTGTTTTACTGAAATAATATTTTTTTGATACAATAATCAGTGGACTGAATTTGAGCTTTCAGAATAAGATTTATACAGTGTGATTCAAAAATGGTGCACTAACTCTGTATTTTTGTTAATAACATGGTGTTAACTGTTTATTGAGCAAGAAAAAATAATTTAAAAAATCCTTGGACCTAATATAGACCTTCAAAGTTTTTTTTTATATGCGACCACATTTTTTATTGAAAATTTAAAAATTGGGCAGAATGACAACAATCTAACAACAGTAGCCAAATTTTCACTGTCTATCGAAATCAATATATTGTTTTTGTAAGTGAACGTCAAAATGACGTAAGAATTTTTTAATGATTTTTCTCGAATTCAGATTTGTGATCGTTATAATGTACCATTGAGTTCTGCATCACCTTGTATTTATTATAAGTGTACCTAAAAACAAATGCGGATTGAATTTTTGAAGCTACTATATTTTGGAACTTTTGTAGAAGTTGAAATTAAAGCAGTTACTTTTCTATACAATAATTAGAAGTACCTACTCTAATTATTGTACTCGGACTGTAGAACAAATATAATTAACAGGCTAACCAAATTTATTAGTTATCCTCACCAAAAAACTGACTGTGTTATCTCAAATTTTTAAGTCTCACTTTAATTAGGGGTCTAAAAAACCCTTTCTTATGAAACTAAAGAAATTAACTATTCGAATAGAATTATACTATTTTGTTGATTATTAACATAAACACTTTCGATTACTGATTCTGGGTTAAAGATAGCATAATCAGAATGGTTGCCTTTTGTATGTAATTACGTCTTGTTCACAAGATTATGCTTATAGACATGTTCATTATCATTAGTAATTTTCAGATTCACTGAGTAGACGGTTTAATATTTTGATTGTTTTAAATTTGTGTTTTATGATTAAAGTTTTAAAATAATTAATAGGAAAATCCATATTGCAATTTAAATTTAAAAAAATTGTGGTATATTTCCGTATGAACAAATCAGTCTGTTACCGTTTACAATCTTTTAATTATTGTGTACTATACTGAAAGAACAATAAAAAACACGATCAAAGAGAACCATCGATTTTTGAAAGTGTATTTTTGATCGCTGCTTTTTCAACTCAAGCTTTCAAATTGATAGTAATTTGAGGAGACGAAAATTCTATCACAGACAAATCTTTAAAAAGCTTTCGTTGTCTTTGATTGCGTTTTTTAGTGTTCTCTAGATAAGGCCTGCTTTTTTCAAATATGTCGTAGATTCTGCTATACAGCTAACAGCTTTATCGTTACCATTTTAAACCTAATTACAATAAATTGTTTGCTGTATATCGGTTCAAATCATTAAAAATTTATCAATTTCATGTTAAATATTTTATCAACGTAATAAATAAAATAACTGAGGGTTCCCCGGCATTTCACTAGCGAAAGTCCGCATTTTGCACTTTTAAAACGTATAAGGGTACCGACATTAATCCAGATAAAGCAAGGCTTTTAATAAGAAAGTGATTTAAAACGGCGTCGTGTTCCGCCGAGAACTTTTTCCCGGACTTTCCAAGTCTGGGCCAAGTTCCGGAGACTTGTCTCGACAATAAAGGATTCAACTTTGAATTATTAATGTTTCAATTATAAATTTCAGCCAGTCTGGAGCACCATCTATATTTGCACACCCAAGATCATGCCCTTGATTCTCTTAACAGGACCTTCCACTTCCTGGTAAAACGGCGGAATTAAAATTTCACACCACGTACTCCGTGATGGTGTTCCACGATTGCACGTTTCACTGAATCATTCTTCCTTCTTTCTCGGTCAGGGTCTCTCATCATCGACTCGCCGGATCAAACCTTACATAACTGGGAGCAGCAATTATCAAAATTGATATCTCTTGATGACGTGGTCAAGTGAGTGAAATTCTAAACAATTCGGTCTGGGTGACTCTAGTTCTGTAAGGTAACAGGTATTGAGGTCGTATGAGTATCTTAAACATGCGTGTAGGCGAATGTGTGTCAACAACGCCAATTTCCTTCTACCGCCAACGCGATGCACTTTTTTGCGGAAAACTCATTCCGGAGATTGACGGAGCGTCTACTTTTTTCTTTATCTCGACGAGGTGAGTTCGATTTTTTCGTTTAAATGGGTGAAGCTCTTAAAAATTAAACGAGCACTCACCTATATTGGCAGTGATGAACGCTGGTTGCATGTTATATACAGGCGACGTCGAACAGTTCTCCAGGAGAAAAGTGGCAAAAGTAACTAAAACTGCTGGCAGCATCTGGAATTGGAGAAATGGAGATCAGGACCGGCTTAGAATAACATTACCCGCAGGTTGCAAGAATATGAAACTAACTCGCAATGATTGTGCAAGAGAGGGCCAACGCTCCACCAGGAGGTCACTGACTGCTCGGACACGCTGCCCAATCTTCTTTAAAAAAATGTTTTGTCACATGCTTGCTTAATTGTGGGAATTAACGTCACACTTGAAAAGATTAAAAAACACAAAGAAAAAAGCCGAGATATGGCTAATTGTTTTGGTTGTAATTATCGTCGGCGAGTTAGGTGAAATGTTTCCACTTCTGAATTAGTGGAAACGGTGGGAATGTGAATAATTGAAGTTCACGTTCATTGTCCTCGATCGAGGAAAGTCCCCCGGGAAATCAAAGAAAAGTTAAATAGAGAGCAACAATTAAATCCGCTAATTTATGTAATGCATACAAGCACAACTTGATGGTTTATCAATTATGAATTCTAACGGACCGAATTCACCAACTATACAGGACGTTCTGTTTTAAAATAAACCCCGAAAACCTGTTATTGTGCGCTTTCATGCATAAAATGTAGGTCAAGCCACAAAATCAAAACACCCTTAAACTTCGAAAGAACTTACCTTATTTTACTAGACTAGAGCGTATACATACAGTTCGATAAACTCTAATTAAAATAAAAATAATTTAATTAATAAATTAATTAACACTTTACACACATTTACACCATGGAAGCATGATTATAGTTGATCAGGTATCAATAGTTAACCGGAATGGCCCAGATTCATATTACTGGACCTCTTGGATTTTTTTTCTCAAGATTTAAATATTCGCGCGCTACTGCTTGGACACCATCCCCATGACTACACGTTCATCACCTGTCCGACGTTGAGTTGGGACTGATTAAAGAAGAGTTCTGCCATCCTGAAGACCAGGGTGGGTCGACGACCTCCTCGGTAGCGCAGCACTAGTGCTGGTGCAGGTACTTAAGGAGGGGATGTACCGTTAGTACTTTACTTTGGTGATCGAATTGTTAAAGAATAACGAGAGCTCAGGTGCTAACGTAATGGTGGCTAATGAGGATTCTGCGAGGCGCCTTTAGATCAGGCAACAGTTTATTCATTCGAGTAACAACTGATTCCACGATATGATCGAAGCGGAAGTCGTGCTTTGAAGGAAATGCGGCAATATCCTGTTGGCACCAAAAGCCGTGTTTTTGGAATTCGATTTCTTTTGGACTAGTCGTTTGACTCATGGGGAGAGGATGTTGCAGAGAGGTGATGTGTTTTATTAAAAGGGAATTAATCGATGCGAAAGAGAAATAATTCGTCACCAGTATGTAGAAAGCTTCCTGGATGATGTCAGTATACAAGGTGACGATGACGAAGTAGTTGGAATTGACGTTTGAGGTTATGTCGGAAGGTGGCAGATGAAGATTAAGCATCTTTAAAGAACTATTACGCATACGTCAATAACAACTAATTGACCATCACTGTGTACTATGGAATCTCAGAAATTTTAGGTATATAATTATTATTTGTATGGAATTTACTCCTTTCAAACACAAAGAGATGTATTTTTTTTATTTAAAATGGCAGTTATGTGAAGCGTTAAATATGGGGTTGTCAGTGTCAAAACAATAATTATTATGTTAGTACTTTTGACAACTGTATTTACTTTGTCTTCTAAGTATTATGTCTGAATTTGTTGTACTTTAATTTTTTTAGCACGTAATTTCGTTTCTAGTGCCCTTAATCTAAAAGTATTATTATTCACTGTTTTCATAATTACTTCATTGGCAATGCTTGGTACTGTGTATGAAGTCTCTTATACGTGTTTTGTGATGTAGAAAATATAAGTGCTATTTCTTTTGTAATACAGTACAGAGTAATAAAATTTTATTCGGACAATAACAACGCGGACATTAAATATTTTCTCTTAATTCTTCAAATTTTAAAATATTTATCTTATGTATTTTTCTTGAAAATTTGAAAACATTGATTTTGTAAACATACCAAGCAGCTAGAGAAAAGTGCATGTACTGTGTATTTTTTCAGTTTTTCCTTTAAAAAGTATTTTCGAAAATCTACAGGGTGAGTCAAAGGTCAAAGTTGTATGGTTCTTTGAGGTATGTGTTCTCTTTTTAATGCGTAACACATAACTTAGTTTTTTTTTTAATGTAACATGCTATATATCTTTACATATTTTAATTAAGCTCCCTTTAGGCTCTAGTCAGAATTTATTTTTGAAATTACGATACGTTATTCTAATTTTCGTGGAAATTTTCAGCAATGGAAGGGTTCACAATAAAATCAGAGTAGGATTATTTATAAGAATGTGTGTTACAACATTTTGGGGAGAGATAAAGAAAAGTACACGGTTTGTTGTGGAATAAATAAGATTACATTTTCAAATACAGAGTGTTTATAAAAATGTCAAGTATTGATATTTCAGTTATTTCAAATAGAACACCCTATGTTTTATAAATATTTACTTTTTTAAGTGACACATCGCCCTGACTCACCCTGAGGACAAAAAATAGAGTAAAATACAGTAATAAAATACAGGTGTACCGTTAAAAAATTGAAATATAACATTTGAAAATTGTAAAGTTTTAGATTTTTTTTTATAAACACTCTGTTCATTAAAATTCGATTTAGTTGACAAGGTAACAAATCCCGTACTTTTATTTATCCTTTCACGAAAGATTGTAAGAGAGAGTTTAAAAATAACGCTACTGCCATTTTTTTGTGAACCTTTCCATTGCGAAAAAATTTCAAGAAAACTGGAATAACGGTACAATGTCGTATCAGAATTTCAAGAATTAATTGTGCTTATAAAGCCTAAGGACAGGTCAATCACAATACGTAAAGTTATATAGGGTGTTTCTTTTGAAAAAACTAAGTTGTGTGTGGCGCCTTAAAAACAGAATACTCTGTAAAGTTAAAAATAATTTTATAGTATAGTCCTAAAGGAACCGTACAACTTTGGTATTTGACTTTTTTTTGTCTGTAATAATTAACGAGATATCGAGGACTCACCCTGTATACAAAATGAATCCATTTGTCATTTGAAGCAAACTTTTTTCTTTTCTAGTTTATACAGGATGAGTCACACTCCTCGGTATCTCACTAATACTTAGAAATACTAATAAAAATACTAAGAATAATAAATTCGAGTCCACATGTTAAAATTACTTTCACCTATAGAAAATGTTATGTTTTTAAGGTGTAACACACACGTTTTTTGAAATGGAGTATCCTGTATAAGTATGTTTATACCGGGTGTCTGGAAAATGGCGAATTAACTCTTCAGTATGTTATAAAGGGGGGTTTCGGGAGTCTAAAAAAAAATAAAAAATTCTTTATAATGTAGATTACAAAAAAACATAACTTTATAAAAGTAAAATTAGCAACACTGCATGCACCTAATGCGTGAATATCTCCGGCTTATGTTCTGATTTCTTAGTAACGATGGTGACTGAAATCATATTTTTTTAAGGACATAACTATAGCAACCAGTAGTTATTCATAGTTGTGCATTATTATTAATAAAACAAGCTATTATTTTTCAATAATAAATAAAACAAAAAAACATTAAAAAAAAACAATAAAAGAAAAATCCATTAAAGCATAATCAATTAAACACTAGAGAAGATGTTCAAAATTCCTGCCCTGCCTTGTGCATATAAGCTCGTAATGTTTCTAAATTTTGATCATTTGTAAAAGTTAGTCATCAGTACCTGCTAATATAAAACTGATTTTGGCAAATGACATACCCTCTAAGAAAAGAGAGGGTGGGTGGGCGGGGTTAGAACCAGGTAAGATAAAACTGATTTTGACAAATGACATACCCTCTAAGAAAAGAGAAGGTGATGGATGGGACTAGTACATGTTAAGGCTGATTTTGGCAAATGACATATTCTCTAAGAAAATAAAGGGGGGGCGGGTAGGGCTAGTACCTGCTAAGATAAAACTGATTTTAGCAAATTACGTATCCTCTAAGAAATTTAATTAAATTATTATAAGAAGAGACACTAGAGTCTCCAAAGCACTTTGAAATTCTTTCCAAACAGGAATACCTAGGAACTCAAGATTGTTTTAAATTTTTCAAAAAAAAACGAGGTCCCTAAATCGGCAGAATTTTCCAAAAATAGAACATTAAAGTCGCCCTAAATTGTTTAAAATTATTTACAAAAAAAATCCCAAAATAATACACTATGAGTACTCAAACACCGCGGCACTCGAGACTTTTTCAATTTCGTAAAAAATAAAACACTAAAAGCTCAAAAGATTGTTTTGGGTTCATCCAGCTACAAAACACCAGATTCCTTTAAGTTTATCGAAAATAAAATACCAGAGGACCTAAAATTCACTACAAACATTTTAAACGTAGGATTTTGAAAACTATGACAATTTTTGATATGTCAACTGTTTACTCGATTTTTGCTAATTGGTACCTTCGTTTTATATCTGGCAGCATTGTTATCAAATGGAATTTTATCAAATTATTACAAAAACAACAACACTATATCTTTGTACATTCTGACTGAAATGGTAATTATGTAATTAAACATGGTCATGGGAGAGAAAAATATTAACTAAAAGTTTATTACTAGTTATTGTGATAATGAATGTTTTGTTTAGTTGTTAAACATAGCAAAAGAACCAATTTTAAAATCATTATAACTCGACCGATATGTGAGAAGGATTTTTTTACTATTTTTCCCAGACTCATCAGTTGATTGTTAAGAGCGTACCGGAGAGTTAATCCGCCATTTTCCATTTTTCTTTTTAGGATTTATAACCATAGAGTATTTCCGAAATTTCCACGCAAAGTTGCCAATTAAAATTGCTATAGGGTCATTTTAAAAGTTTGGATTACACTACTTTGTGGACAGATAAACACACCCTTTATCGTGGTATAAATAAAATTGGCTGTGCACATATAGAATGTTAGGTATCAAAATATATAAATTATAATAATCCCCAGATCTCAATATTTCAGTTTTTTTAAATACCCTGTATTTTATCATTGTTCTTGTTCTGTTGTTCGTCCTTTTTCTTTTTTGTTAAACATTTTCTACATTTAAAGTTGATATAATTACTGCGATTTTTAACTTTTTGTTAAGGGACACACCGACATATTGAAAGAAGGAGAACAAAAAATAGAGTAAGACACAGTATTAAATATACAGGATGTTTTATTTGAAAAACTGAGATATCGATATTTTGAAAATTGTAAAATTAAATTGAGAACAATTTAAATGCGCACTAGTTTTAATGAAATGTGAAGTCACAGCATTATTAAAAACATTTCAGCACAGAAGAAACTATATCAGCATTTGTAAAACTGAAAGGGCAATAAATAAAATAATGGCAGATTATTTTTTCTATTTGCGCAATAAATAATGCAATTTAGAATTATTTAATTAAATTTGCTCATTCGTTAAAATAACTGTTTCTTTAATAAATCAATTTGTATTTGAGAAAATATAAACGACCATTTCAAATTTTCCGTAAATTACTAAAATGTACATTAGTTCACAGTAAAGTGGGCCTTACACTCCCACTCTTTAAAAGGCGTGTCATGTGCTTCATTTTCGCCCTTCTAAAGCCAAAAAAGCATTAATTATTCAATAAATTAATAATGTTTAGTAACTGAGTTTTTTGATGAAAGAATGTTTATTTTAAGTTTCTTGTTAATTTTTTGAAAACTTTTAATTTATTTAGCTACTTTTTTGCTATGAATATCTTTTGTTTTTGTTGATTTTGTATGCATTCATAAAATACATTTTAATACAGCAGGTCTATTTTTGTTTGTTATTTTCTATGGTTTCAATAATGCACGCAGTACAGAAAATCATTGCCCAAAACAATAATTTTATTATTCGAATTTGCACTTAATATAATGCACAAAATGCAAAAACTTATGGCGCAACATAGTAAATTTAATGCACAAATGTTATTGCGCATAGTATAAGATTTAATGCACAAAGTATTAAAAATAATGCACACTTAATTACGACCCAATTAAATTTCTTAATAAACACTGTATATCAAAATTGTATTTAATTGCTAATTTTCTTTGTTAAATTGGAATAACGTGGCAACGTCGCATCGGAACTTCAAAAATAAACTATGGTTATAAAGCCTGGGAAAAGGCTAATAAGAATATGAAAAATACATAAGGTATTCTTTAAAAAAAACAAGTTGGGTGTTATGCCTCGAAAACAATATGTATAGTCAAAAATAATTTTAATGGATTAAAGGAACTCGCTTAGTGACTCACCCTATACATTTTCGATATTTATTTTTGCTGATTTTGGACAATAGTAGACCTTCTGGTGATTATTTTTCTAGTTACTACGTTTAGCTTTCTTGAGAGATGATTCATTTCTGTGAAACATTTACCTTTTTTTTTCAAACAAGATTATATACACTGTCCAGAGACAGTAAAAAAATGGTCATATTATTTACACATAACTTCATTCGTCTTTGAAGCGTAACAGATACGCAGGCATGTCAGGGCCAATTCAACAAAAGAACATTTTTTATATTAATAATCGTAATATTGTTGATATACAGGTGTTTACTAAACATGTGGCAAAGATTCAGATTTTCGGAAAAACGATGATATGGGGCGATAAAAGTAAATTAAAATTCACACTGAAAATATTGGATTTAATTCCATATTTGTAATATTAGAAGAAGAATTTAATTATCTTCTTTTAAATATGGCTGTATTATATATAAATAAATTTTGTTTCAGCATTTAGTTCAGTTCACAATCGAATTGTCTGTCAATTATCAATAAAGTAATAAAAATGTTATCACAGCCAACCATGGATTTTTGAAGATTTGTCTTTGATCGTTACATTTTCAACTCAAACTTTGAAATTGATATCACGAGGCAAAAGTTCTGACAAAAAAATATTAATCTTCAAAAATCCATAGCTGCCTTTGACCATGTTTTTACTGTTCTTTCAATTGTTTTATTTTTATACAGTCATTATTATTATTCATGTTATTATTTTAATATAGTTCAACTTTATTTTTACAAAAATTAAATGCTCCTGATTTTTGCATTTCATAGTCACATTTTTTACCTTCGGATCTATAAAAAAAGATTAAATGGGGTGTAGATGTTCGATAGTTCCGTCTGACGTAACGTACATCTAAAATTAAATTTTAGCAAAATGCCTGAAACTCGAAGCAGCCTAGCGTGACAAATGCTGTTCACGCGCTGTACAGCAATTTATGGTGCCGACGTTTATAGTTGCTGTGAACACCCATTTACATCATAAAACTGACTACTGTAAATTTGGTCGTCACCCCTTTTATATGAATAAAACTAGGCGGACGTGAGAAACGTTTAACACCGAGTCGGACTTAAAAACTAAATTGTCTGTTACAATGTTAATTATACTCACAACGTGTCACAAAATGTGTTGTTTCCCTTTGGTGACTAATAATTTTTTAAAAATCTAGGACCCGTAGATGCCATTACAAATTATACATTGATATTGATATTAATACTAGTGAAATTCCATAAAAGAATTAATGTCACAATTCCAGAAATAATTCTTTCATTTCTACCATACTTCTCCAAACATATAATATTCAAATTTTTCCAATTAAAAAAAATCCAGTTCTGTATTTAGAATTGGCACTGAAACAAAATAATCTATAAGAAATAAACGAAAAATATTAAATTCGTTTTTTTTTCCTTTATATTCTTTTTAATATTCGTCAGTAATTTTCATTCACTAAATTTATGAAAACGCCTAGAAATAAAGAACCGATAAAACAGCTGTTCTGTTTTTTAGATTACACAGGTAGTATTTTTTTTTAAATTCCATTGTTTTAATTTCCAAATAATGTATCTAGCTTTTATGATCATAGAAAAAATAAAACATGGTACAGGTTAAACACTCGTTACATAAACAGTTATTGTAACAATAATAACTTACAAATTACAATATCATGCCAACCCACAAGTTGTGGTTTATTCCTAATTATTAAAAGACAATTTCTAAATTAGACTTTTAAAGCAGACTTTTTAAAATCAAGTATGAGGTCCTCACGTAAACGTTGTTTAGTCGTCGCTAGTCAGAATAAAAAACCCTTTTATACTATAAAATATTTACTATTAGTAATTAACTAAACTTACATTATAAAAATAGTTTATAAAATAACACTTAGTAAGTAAATTACCTAGAGTTAAAAATCTGATACAGACTTACAGCTTATTAGCACTATTCTCTTCGATCCCTGCCGAGACTGCACAATCGATCCCAGGGGATAAGTACATCAACAGTAATGGGACTATTATTGCCAAAATTCAATAAATACCTAATACTTAACACTTCTGAATCTACTTAATTAAGCTGTTTTGGTTCAATATAATACACAATAAATAATTTTGGTTATTTTTCTATCACTCTCATTATTTAACCCATTACGAATAATTTACTACTCTTCAACATGCTGGCACCATGCTTGTTCCATCGTCACTCAACCCATTACTTTATCAATCCAAGGCACAAATTTTTGTATATTGGTATAAACCCCCGGTAAATGTTCTCTTCCGCAGCCAATGCCCCAGGAAACTAAACCAATCAAAGTTCTCCTACCCTCTACCGTCAGTGTCAAAGGTCCTCCGGAATCCCCTTGACACGAATCTCTTCCGCCCTGCAAAATATCCACAAACTGTTATTGTATAACATCGAAATATTCCAAACACTTGCCTCCTTATAACCTGCACACAAGAACACATCATGGATAGTTTCTCTTCTACCAGCAGCTCGGAACCATCTTTGGCATCGATCATTGGTAATTACTTCGACGTCTACTTCTTGTAGAACTGAAGGAACTGTTGCTTGGCCGTGTCGAGTGCGACCCCAGCCGGCCACTGTCGCCATTTTGCCTGGCAATTTCAGCTGAAATTTTCGTTTTAGAAAAGCTCGTTGTAAACGAAACACTTACGGTTGGTGAAGGTAGGCAAACTGGTATTATGTGTTGCTTAAATCTAACATTTCGGTCTAATTTCACTAATGCCACATCATTCTTGAAATCCGTCGGGGAATAAGCTGGGTGTACTTCTTTGCGCTCGACGGAGTATTCTTCGTGTGCTAATTTTTCGTCCTGATCCCTTACATCCCATTCCCCTAGTCTGACTCGGATGTTTCCATTTGCAGTTCTATAAATAGAGGTAAATTTAATCAATGAAGTTGGTGTTCAAGTCGGATCAAAATTTAATAAAACTTTGATTTATTAACACACTTCTAATGGCTGGAATTTTACTGGCAATCGTAAAACTTATTTTATCGATATTAGACATAAAAACAGTGGCTGACACGGTTTTTTCGATAGTAAATATTTGTTGATCAGATTTGGCGAATCTGGGTTCTAGCACGATACTCTAAATAAACAAACTGAAACTTCGGGTGTCTTATAAAAGGATTTACCATCGACTATTATCACTAAAAGCTGGATTTAATCCGATTGGTAGTTTAATTTGTTAGTGAAATATGGAGTATTTGTATTGACGCAGACATTTCATCGGCATTCACCAAAAGCTGTATTGATTTTATTTTACCTGTTTTAACTTTTTATTTGTCATTACATAATAGGTAAATTTTGCGGCAAAATATAACGATATACGTCGAAAAAATTACTCTAATTTAGTAAACCTGTTTCTGCCCAAAATGAAATGAGTTTAATGAAATTAAGCATCATTTTTACTTTTAGGATTATACAGCTACTGCATAATTTGGGTCTTCAATTTTGATATAGAGAGTTTCTAGAGCTTGTCTTACAAAATTACTTAAAAAAAAATTTTGGAAATAGAAATAAATTTGTAAACTCCAAGGCACGTTTGGATGTTAATAAATCAGCAGCAGATGTCACTAAATAATAAAAGAATGTGACAGCGTTGTAATAAAATTTATCATATATATATTTTTATATACAGAAGGGCAATAAAAATGTGGTTGTCAACTAATGTTTAAAAATTGAAATTTCTTATAAAATAACATAGTTGAAGCTTTTTTAAGACCTAGTTAATATATCTTTCAATAATTGTAGAAACTACATCAGTCTAATTATCGTAGTCACCATTGTCTAAATAGAAAGTAAAGAATATTTCTACTAGATGCAAGGACAATTACTTGATATAATGTCAGTAGATTTTTACTTCCCGAGTGATATGTAAGTCACGCATTGTAATAGAGTTATTTTAACAAATATCCAATTTCGTGTTTTCAAGGCATTACATAACAGGTAGAATACAAAAATACAAGTTTTCTGCAAAATTTCTATATTTATCGTTCTAAAAAATTGGTGACGATATCTCAAAATTTTCTTTCGTTCGCGAGACTGAATAACTGAATTCTTAGAAATTGTGATTGAATATAAGAAATGATTAAGATTTACTTGTTTATTCGTAGAAAGTTGATAACGTCGAAAAATGATCAAATATGTCTTTGTTGGCGCTTTAAAACTGAGGGAAGTTATGTGCAAATAACTTCGGAGCTTTTTTCTTTAGAAGTGCGTACAAAAGAAATACAGGTAATTTATATTAAAATACAGAGGGATCAAAAGATGACGGATAAGTTCGATGGTACGTTGTTAAGAAAACTCTGAAGCACTGGAAAAAAAGTGGCTGAAAAATCCTTAAACCCAATTTTTGAAATAATTAAATTTCAAATTTGAAGAATTAACTTTGTCTAATGTGTTTTAATGTGAATTTAATTTACGGTCTAAAATTATGTTAAAAATGCCAAAAATGACATCTGTCAACAGTACAAACGTTGTGGATCGTATTCTAGCAACTTATCAATAATTAATTATTGAACTATTTAATTACGAAGTTAATTCTTCAACTTCGTAGCTTAACATTTTCAAAAGTTTGGTGCAGAGATTTTTTCGAGTTCTCCAGAGACTTCGTAACAACGTAAAATCGACTTTATCCGTCATTTTTTGATCACCCTGTATAGTTGCAATATAGTTTTTCTTTAATTCGTATTGTAATAGGGTCCATCGGTCGAACGTATACTTTTATGATTTGCCGACCTCTACAGCATGAAAAACTAGGTCCCCGTTGTCGGCTGTCTGCTGTGTCGATTATTATTATTAGACTCTGAAACTACCGAGCTGACTGTTAAATTTTATTATTTTAGGAATGGTAAAATGCTAACTGAAATTTATTTTGATAGTCATACATCAACAACTTGATGATATCATGTCAAAATTTTGCAGCAAATATTATGTACATTTCCTAAAATACGAGTGACATACTTCCATCCTTGTTTTTTTTCCTTCTGTGATATTTTGTCACTTTTTGTAGCTATTTTTTTTCTTGTTACTCTCTGTAATCACCATTTTTTTGTGAACTTTTCTTGTGTTTTTTTAAATTTTTTTCGTAATCTTTTTTCTCTCTTTTTTATTATCACCTCTTTTTTTTGATGATTTTTTTATTGTCTCTTTTTGTAGCCTTTCGTTGGATTTTTTGTCGCTCTTTCACTCTCTTTCGTAGGGGTTTTTTGTTGTCCCTTTTTTGTGATCTCTTTTCGTCTGTTTTATAACTTCTTTCTTTTTCGCATTTTTTGTCACGTTTTTTGAACCACTTTTTTAGACATTTCTTGTAATGACTCTTTTGCATTTTTTATGGATCTTTTTGTCCTTTTTTATACCCATTTTTTGATTTTCTTTATTTTAACTATTCGCGGAAACATGTCCTTGACACTTTTTCTTTTCATCCCCTTTTTATGACCTTTTTTGTTGTCTTTTTGACTCCCTTCTTTTAAACGCATTTTTTTGTAAGGTTTTTTTTTACCTTTTTTTTAATCGCTTTTTTGGTCACACTTTGTAGACTTTTTTCTGCAATTTTTGTGAAACTGTTTTTGTTTTAACTTTTAGGGATCATCACAAAAAATTAAATTCCCCAATTAAATTTTATTATCTAAGAAACTGGATTTGCTGACTGTACTTCAAAGGCGAGGGAACTTCTGTCTAAATAACTCCGAATCAATTATTACTTCCCAAGCATAAGCTAAGGATGTATTGTAATAGGCTCCATCGAACGGAAGCCTATTTCCATGTTTTCTCGATCTTTCATGAAATCATGACACAAGAGTGCATATAAATATATTTCCCGTTTCGGTCTATCTGTCTGTCGTCTGACTTTATAGATTTTTATTACACGGATAAATTCCGAAAGGACTGCACCGGTTGTTATCAAATTTTATACGTATGTTAGGAATATCATGTAGATGGTAAAACGCTAACCAAAATTGATCTAATCATCTCCACTTTCTAAATTTTTTTTAAAACGCCAATCAAATTTTATAAAATAACACTCTTGTATAGTGAACCAAGAGTTATAAGGTTATATGGCCATCATAAAATCATCCCATTGTGTGGAAGTTAAGTTGTTTACAATAGAAAAGGTTTTAGGGTCGTAAATAACGTGTCCACTGCAGCTCGACCGACTCTTCTGGTTTCGTTCAGGGGCGGCTTTCACTAAATATGAAAATCCACCACTCCACTATTTCTTTACTACCTGCAGCCGCTGAGGGTTCCGAAATAACCACTCGCTTTGAAAGCCGGCCCTGTTAAATATGAGCAAGAAATGTTTAGAAGATGATTTATTGCCAACCGGTAAGCTTAGTGCGAACCACACAAAGGGGGTGTTTATTTGCGGTCAACTACTTTTATGATGGCCATATAACCTTATAGCTTTTGGTTCACTATACTTATGGTTTATGAGTCCGCCTGAAGTTTTTACCCTAGACCTTTTCTAGTAGAATAAGCAATGCGAGAATCATATCTCAAGCACATTCATGGGGTGGGCTCCTTTTTTCTTAAACTGTGACTTTTATGGTCTATATTTTTTTAATTTGTAGAAATGTCCACAAAAAAGATCCAATTTTATAATTTTAAAAAAAGCTCTATTGGTTGTTCTGTGTAAATAATCTTAAACGAGTTTTTTAACTAATCAAATAATAATAAGCTTAGAATACTTGTTAAAATTAAAATAAAAAGTCTCACCACTGATTTTTTGACATTGTAAAGATGTTTGTAAATAGATTTGCAAATTAATACCATCGATTTACATATATTTTTTTATTCCTTAAACTATAAATCCTGTAAAATAAATTCTATATTGACCCTTTGTCTACTTTGCCGCTTGTTCAAACTTGTACCAGAAATACTGGCAGCGACTGGCGTCACTAAGCGTCGTTATGGAGATCACTTCCTGTTATTTTAATAGATTTGACGCACTGACATTTTAACTACGTGGTAACTTCTACTTATTCCTGTCCCATTATTGCCAAAAATATAATTCCCAGTGCCCTACATTCACATATAAATTTCATATATAGAATAAACGTAAAAATCTCACATTAAGCATATACGAAATAAATTTGTTAGTTTAAAGCAAGCTGTTTCAGGAGAGTTGTCGGCAGAGTGATAATGTTTATTTCCTGGGCATAATAGAGTAGGTCTTCCATTTCCATCTATCTTCTTTACGTTGGCTACTGTGTTAGCAATCTTAGATTTTATCTTAGAAACCAAAAACTAAAAACCGTTTATTCTGAAATTGTACAATCATGCTTTAAGATGATGGTAAACATGGGAAATGACTAATCAAAATTTATTCATTCATCTTGTCCAGAAGTATTTATACAGTATATCTCAAAATAGTTGTTAAACTGAAGCAGTTGCATAATAAAATAATAAATGAGTTTATATTTAAATTTCAAAATTAATATTTTAATTAACAACTTTCTGAGATTTTGTTCATCCTAATTCATTAGGATTCATCTCATTTTTACAAACAACTACCATCAGACTAATTACAGATCAACAAGCATGGGCCAAAAACTGCACACTCTCTTAAACACAAGAATCTATGCAACATGCCAAATTATTCCTACAAGGCTAAAAGGATTGAAAAGGACTTACGTTGCAACACAATGTGCAGCTGTGATAATCCACCTTTCATTGAGAAGTGCTCCACCACAAGCGAGTTTCTTTGTGAGAAATCCTGTCTTGATGAGGGCTACTTGCCAAGGATGCGAACCGAATCCCGTAGAATGTCCTCCCACAATCCTATTGCTCCTTGTGTATAGTTCACCGCAACCTAAAATAATCAGTTGGTAAGATCCACCTTTTAAGCTCCCCTGAATAAATTTTAGTCGGAGCTTGCTGAAGGAATGTGAAATGAAATGCTGAGCCGCGGTTTGTACTGAATTTATACATAAATTCGGGAGGATTTGGATGATTTTGAGTAGCTACATAGGGAAGTTTTTACTTAGGATATACATTATTTGTTTGAATATTCTGATGTAAGTTTAATATTTAATTGGAAAAGTTTCAAATTGAAATTTAGATGGAAAACATTGGAGTTTACTGTGGAAATTATGTGTTTGTACTGGATGTAAACGCCGTGTATTAAGTCGGGTTTTAAATAAAAACGGGGACGGAATGTTTAAATAAAAATAACAAAAACGGAGATTTCGCCAAAATTAATTAAAACTTTAAATTCGGTTTGTGAATACTATAATAATAATTTCGTTGGTAAAATGTTAACCAAAGCAATAACATTATGCTGGAGAAGATATTTGTTGTTTTTTGAAAAATATGTAAATATTTCTTAATAAGAAGACAAAACGTTCAGTTAAATCAAATTTAAATTACTTATATTTTAACTGAAATCATTTTAGTTCTGAAACTAAAAACATTCGAGCTTTATAGTTGTCGAAGATCATATCTAATCAGAAAAATTTTAGTGTTTTCTAGTTTTATAGACATGTTTTATGGAATTTAATATTATTTCTAACGAAAGTGGAAGACAGGAATTTGCATTAACTAATGGAAACTAAACACACAAAATGCTCACATTAGCAAAAGTAAACAAACTACCATATATGGGATAACAAAACTATTATATGTTAGGATATTAAGTTTGTGTAAACAATATGCATATACATCGCAAACAAAGGGAGGTCACTGACGAGATCTCGACACTATTAACTACAAAAAAAAAACATTGTAATCGTAGCAAATGTTCTTTTGGGGTTACAAAAACAATACCTAGTACTTAAAAAACGTAAGGTAATTTTGGAAATCTCGTATTACTTTATGTAATATTATTAGCTAGCTCATAATGCAGGTAATTAAAATTACAACACATATCAGCATTATATTATTTTATATTCATAAAGGATTGTGTGCGCAATAATAGTGGCTACTTTCTTTTCCAAGTATGATAAGTATCAAGTAGTTATTAACTCTACTTTTTATGCAAAGTGAGCATCTTCAAGTTTATAATAGAATGAGCATAATTATGTTACCTTTGTATGTTTTTACAAAGAAATTTTATCTCATTTGAGATTAGTACTAAAGAAAAGTGGATGTTCAAGAACGTCTACCATTGTACGATTGCTCACTAACGGTATTTTTCTACCAATTACTACAATACGAGACAATCACTCAGTGCTTAAAGCAGCAACTTTTGAGAGCTGGAAATCAGATTTCTCGTGTCTACAATGTCTATTATTTGTACACAAACTAAATTCTCAGTCATTGAACACTCAGCTCCAGAAATGCTTTCAGGACGATAAACATACGTGGAAAGTTCTTATCCCTTGAACCTACATGTTAGAGTCTCGGTTTTGTTGTTCAAATTTAATTAATCGTTGAAAAGCGGTGGTTAAAACTTTCCAGTACTAGTCCTGTATAGTTTGAATGTGGTAGCAAAAGACTAATACAGACTATGCAACTAATTGAATATGCTATTTACAACGTTTTAATCGTTTATATGAAAATCTCACTGTTAACACAAATAAATAAGATTTAAAAAATCCAATTAGGAAAATCTGGAATGAGTTGTGGTTAACAGAACTGTTTCACATCACGTGCAGTCGTATGCGTGACAAATTACAACGCAGAATTAAATTCAATTTTACGTTAAATTCACGTGAAAAGAGGAAAATTTGACTCGCACTACGTGATGAGTTTTAAGACAAGCCATTGACACAGTGTAAAGCCACAGATAAAACTTAGCCTATAGTTAACTTGTCCAAATTTTGAAAGCTTAGCCACTATATTCAAGTGTTAAACACAATGACAAGTGACAGATAACGTGGATTTGTACATTCACTTGGCATATAAGTGACACTACTATGTGATATTAAAGTTTTACCACATTGAATTGTGGCTAAACATAAGTCTGTCTATATATAGATTGAAAATTCTAAAAATCAGTGATATAGTTTTTGCGTTATTCAATTAGTTTTAACGGCAAGCCGTGGCACAATGTCAACAATATTTAATTTATGAAAATCGATTTTAAGTAACCTCTTATCAGCAATTTATAACACCCTTGTAATACATTAGCAGTTTTAATTAGATAGTGGTAGTTGGTAATCGCATGTGCCTGTCACATATATATCATTCCACTTGTCAGAATGGTCAATGCAGTGTAAGTGAAATAGTAACATTTAATTAAAGTTTGGGTTGTGGCTAGCTACTCTCGCAAATTAATACAATTATTTTTATAAACTCTTATTCGGGTATTATTTGATCAAATAATTATCCAAAAATGTTATTTTTTTTAACCTGAAAGATAGAAAAGAGTGTCGCAGATAAAAATGTTTGTAAACGCCATTGTTTTAGCTTGAAAGGAAAATATTAATCTAGTCACTGTGAATATGACGGAAACCCATGTTTTTTATAATGGCAATGTATATATTTTTTAAGTGATTTTGATATATATTTATTTTATTTTCAGTCGACAAAAAAAAATAAAAGTTACAAATATAAGAAATTTAAGTCGAGTAAAGTATTAGAACCAATTTAATTTACAAAAAATTAGTAAAATTTGTTTCGAAAACATTTAAGCATGCGTTCGAACTGTCGTCCGTCACACTGAAGACACAGAGTTTTTATTATTTTGTAATTAATAACGTACCACGAGTTAAAAAGGCTCAAACATTTTCAATTCAGTTGTTTATCCTTTAATCTAAATCAGGTAAAATCACAAATGCACTAAATCTTTTATCTATCGCCACAAAAATAAATCTTAAATCTGGGCTGCAAGCTGGCCATCGAATTTATTATCGTTCCAATTTTTGTAGTAAATGTGTTTTATAAAAAAAAAATTGCACGATTTTCGACAGGCAGCAAAGAAATATTGTAGTTGTTTAAAATTTTTGACGTTAAAAATTAAAAGTAGTAATGTAATTCTGTTTACACATGTATTCCGTGGCAGTATACGGCAGTTCGATGCATTTATTCATTTAAATAACTTATTTTTTTACAGTTAAAACTAATACAGCACCTTATACCTAATTGTAATCGTAATTTAATGATATATCAAAATTCGTTAAAAATATACATATATGTTGTAATTTAAAAAACATAAGTTCGCGTCGCGACGCCGACCTCATACATATATGAGTCATATTTGCAATGTACTAAATTAAGCTTCTCCCTTCAAGTTAAAAGCAGTGTCGTTTACAGAATTTCGATATTATTAACCGTTCTCAACATATAGCTAAACAGAATTTTGTCTGGGGCACCTGTACATACGTATTTTGAAAAATGATGAAAAAGTCCACTACAGTAGAAATTGAGTAAAGTATTAGAACCAATTTAGGTTACAAAAAATTAGCAAAATTTTTTGTATGAAACGAAAAAGAAAGTGCGTTAACACACTGATAAGATTTTTTTAGTAAGACGTAACTTGACAATTACACATTTTTCAATTTATTTTCTGAGCAGAGGCTAGCATAAGTACTTTGATTTAATATGTCCTTAATGTTTCACACCTTGAAGAATTCAAAAATGCAAATTTCTCGTATATCTCAAAATTACAGTTTATAACATAGAACATCAACTAGACGAAATGATTTATTTATTCTCTCGAGAAGAACGCCGCTTCGCTCTTAAGAATCAAGTGGTGAGTCTGGAAAAACAGTAAAAAAATTCCTTCTCACAATTTGGTGGAGTTATAATGATTTAAAAATTTTTTTTTTGCTGTTTGTAACAACTAAACAGCACATTCATTATCACAATAACTAGTAATAAAACTTTTAGTCAATAATTCTCTCGCCCATGACCATATTTAATTACCATTTCAGTTAGAGTGTACAAAGATATGGTTGTGTTGTTTTTGTAATAATTTGATAAAATTCCATTTGACAACAATATTTGCCTGATAGTTAATTTTAGGTCCCCTGGTGTTTTATTTTCGAATAAATTTACAGGAATTTGGTGTTTCGTTGCTGGATGAACTTGAAAAAATCTTTTGAACTTTTGATGGTTTATTTTTTACGAATTTGAAAAAGTCTTAAGTGCCACAGTGATTTTATTTAATTCGGGAGACTCTTAGGTACCCATGGTATTATTTTGGAGGCCCATGGAGATTTTTTTTGTAAATTGTTTAAACAATTTTGGAGGACTTTGGTGTTCTATTTTTGGAAAATTCTGACCTGACCTGTTTTTGAATTAATTTTAGGACCCCGTTTTTTTTTTTTTAAATTTAAAATAATCCTGAGGTTCTAGGTATTCCTGTTTGGAAATAATTTGAAAGTGCTTTGGAGCCGCTAGTGTCTTTTCTTATATTAATTTAATTAAATTTCTTTATCTTAGCAGATACTAACCCCACCCACCCGCCCTTTATTTTCTTAGAGGGATATGTCATTTGCCAAAATCAGTTTTATCTTAGCAGGTACTAGCCCCGCCCACCCGCCCTCTCTTTTCTTAGAGGGTATGTCATTTGCCAAACTCAGTTTTATCTTAGCAAGTACTAATAACTAACTTTTGCAAAAAATGATCAAAATTTGGAAAAATTACGAGCTTACTTATATGCACAAGGCAGGAATTTTGAACATCCTCACTAGTGTTTCGTTGGTTATGCTTTAATAGATTTTTCTTTTGTTGGTTTGGTTTTGTTTATCTATATATATATAAAAGGCAATGTCCCGACTGACCTATCAACTCCCAGCCCAAACCGCTAATGCTAGAAACTTGAAATTTGGAGAGAATGTTCATTTTATACTGGAGGCATCGTTTAAGAAAAGATTTCTGGAAATTGAACTCCTAGGGGAGTGAAAAGGGGTGATAAAATTATAAAAGACAAATATGTCTACTGGAAATTTACATTCTTACGTGATTCTTATGATAATGTTTACTTAAAACCCGGTATTAATGGTCTTCAACACAAATAATGGAACTCGTATTTAAGCATTTTCGGAGATTCAACCCCTAAGGGGGTGAAAAGGGGCCTCTAAGTTTGGGCGGCTAAGTTTGTATGGGAACAATATTTCTATCATAAATTGAAATTTTTACGTGAACCTTGGTATTAATGTTTTTCAACATAAATAATGAAACCCGTATTTAAGCATTTTCTAAAATGCAACCCCTAAGGGGGTGAAATGTGGAGGCTAAGTTTGTATGGGAAAATATTTCTATTGTATATTTATATTTTTACGTGAAACTTGGTATTAATGCTCTTTAACACAAATAATGAAACACGTATTTGAATATTTTCCGAGCTTCAACCCCTAAGAGGGTGAAAAATGGTGGCTAACTTTATATGGGAAATTATTTTTATTGTAATTTTTTGACGTGGAATTTAGTATTAATGTATAATGAAACTCGTATTTAAGCATTTTCGGAGATTCAACCCCTAAAGGAGTGAAAAGTGGTGGCGTAGTTTGTATGGGACAAATATTTATACTGTGAATTTAATTTCTTTTGGGGAACTTGGTATTAATACTCTTCAACACAAATGAAACACGTATTTCAGGTTGTTTCGAGATTCCACCCCTAAGAAAATAAAAGGGGGTGACAAAGTTTTTATGAACAAACATATTTTTATGTTGACTTTTACTGGAAATTATATTAATGCCGTTCAACACATTTTTTACTTGAAGGTTGGTAATAATATTCTTCAATACAACGAGTCGTCTACGCGAGCGAAGGCGCGGGCGAAAAGCTAGCAATTTGTAAATGTCTTACTAAATGTTTTTTTTTCGGTTTATTTATTAATGAAAAATAACAGGTTACTGGTTGTTACGGTATATGGTTACTCCTCTAAAAAAATAAAAGGTGGATTTCAGTCACCATAGTTACTAAGAAATCAGAAAATAATCCGGAGATATTCACGCATTAGGTGCGTGCAGTGTTACCAATTTTACTTTTATAAAAATTTTTTTTTTCGTAATCTACACCATAAAGACTTTTTTTTTTATTTTTTTGGGACTCTCAAAACCCCCATACATAACATACTGAAGAGTTAGTTAATCCTCCATTTTCCAAACACCCGGTATAAACAGATTTATTTAATCGATTCCTGTAATTCTGACCTGACCTGACCTGACCGAACCTAATCTGACCTGACCCGTCATGACCTGACATGACCTTGCCTGACCTGATATGACCCGACATGAGTTAAACTGATCTCATCTGACCTAACCTGGTCTGACCTGTCTGACCTGATTTGACGTGATCTAACCTGACCTGATCTGACCTGACTTGACATTCAGTTATGTTTCATATGATACATTCAATTATTTTATGAGTCCTTCGTCCTTAATAACCTGTATTTTGACGTTGCGTTTATTGGATGTATCCAAGTAGTTATGCGGTTTTTTTATTTTGTTTCAATTTTTAAATTTCCCATTTAACTATTTTTTTTTATCGAATCAAACGTCCTCCTACATGAAACAAGAATAGATAAGTAAATTTATAATTTTAGAAACTTAGTTTTGTTTTGGTCTTCCTCATGTAGAAATAGAACCAGAATATTTTCAAAAACTAATTGCCTTAAAACTCGCTTAAAGATACGTTCAAAATAGTGATTGAATAAAAGGGAAATTTGAAGATTTGTAAATAAGTTAATAAAATATAAAGTTGTTTGTATGAATATTTAAATACTTCCGATCATTGTTGTCAATAAAACTGTAATATTTTGATAACTGTCTATTGTAAAATTCCTGATCATACCTTTCTTTTGTCATAAACATTAAAAGTAAAAAAAAAATTGAAATTTTCTTCAATTTAACAATACACTTTAGACCGTAACTTTTGAGTTGAAAATCATGCAAAATTAGAATAAACTTTAAGTTGTAGACACAGTTGAATTTGAATACCGCAGAGGTAATGCGTATTTTCCACCATTAGACCCTTAGGACACCTGCATACATATAACCAAATAAAATAAAACGGCTTCAGCCATTTTCACATTCCCTAGACACAACCAGACAATGAAATAACGCAAAAAGATGAAAATATCTGTTTTCACAACAATAGACCTGTGCATTAGGACAGTTTAGTGCTAAAAGGTTAGTGTGTGTTAATGTTACCCCTGACATTTGGCGGCTTGACTTGCGGCTCAGTTTGGTAGCCATCTTCCTGAGGGGGCGGTCGGTCATCCCCGGGGTCGTGGTAGTAGGGTCTATAAGGCGGTCTATCCACACTGTTGGAATCCGGGTGGTCAGGATCCGGAGGATAATATCCCACTAGATGATAAGTGTCTAGTTTTGTTAGTTATTACTGTTAGTTTAATGGCAATTTACACAGTCGGACGTTAATTACAACACGGATTACGTTATGTACATATATAATCCAGAGCCATAGCGGCCCAAACTTACTAGCATTATTGAGGACACCTACGTCAGGATGGTGAGTAGGTGTGTGCTCGTCCCGGTCTATGCAACAAGCCCAGATCATCCCTCCGGAGCAGAGATCCAAGGGACGACCGCCGCCGAGGACGCAGCTGATGGATAAACCGCATTCGTATTTGATTCCACGGAAGCGGCAGGATTGCGGGATCACTGCAAGAATAAATAAAGGTTTCATTGTAGAGCAGTAGCTAAAGTGCATACAAACGAGAAAACGGACAATACATCGCAAATATCGTTACTGGAACAAACATGTTCCGAATCACTTTGTATTGTTACCGAATTAGGGAGTAGTTCAGGAAATGAGGTCCTAGGTATTTCAGTTTTATTACCTCGAATATTTTTTTTTATTTCTAGTGAAAAGATCTTGTTTCTCTGATACATTAGTACATTACACAACAAAATCCTTGAATAGATTTTAAATAAAAATCGTTTGAACAATTGCTGAAGCATTTGTGGCTGCGGATACATGTAGGAGTAATGAAATTCCTGTTCAACAATGGTACGCGGTAACAGAATTGTGAGAGTTACTGAAATAAGGAATTTTGTATTCAGTAAAAAAGAGGGTTGTCCCGTTTAAAAAACGAAAGTTGTCTTCATTTCCGTTGTAACCGCAATACTATGATCAAATTTAAGAAACAGGTTTTGCAGACTCTCAAAAGTGTAATTTGTTTCCTGTAGCAGTTTTTAATTAATTTGTCTGATCGCTTAATTAAACTATAACGAGTGAAGTTTCGGGTTTTCAATTATCACTGTCGATATCCATATCGTTCGTGCCACTTCCGATGAAAGTTCTAAATTGTTTTTATTTTTTGTTGTTACTCTTTTAAACTACGTCTGTAATTGTTCTTCAGATCATTACAGTGCAAGGATCTCAGGCTGTTTTCAAGTATTATATGTTTTGGAAGATATTATCATATTTTAAAGGTCGTAGAGTAGTGCACCTTCTTTGAAAAAACATAAATTTTAGGCTAAGTTTCCAACTTTCTGTACGTTTTTATTCGACCAAAATTTTGTCTCTTCATTACCACATCTGAGTTTTACATTTGTTTTACAATTCTTCAAGTTCTTCTCTTTGAGTTTCCCTCTAATTGTGTAGACATCTAGAACCTGTCGTTTCCTGTTCTTACTTTCTTCTATTTGGTAATAATCATTTCACTTTTTAATATCAGAATTTTATCATGTACTCTTTTGCTTCTACCTTTATTTTTTTTCTTTCAAAATTTTTTCAAATAATTATTTACAAAAAATTTCAGTTTGGGTTACCAACTTATTCTATTTAACAGTATTTTAAAGCCATTTTTCCACTTATATTCTTGTTTGTTTCATTTCCCCTTCCTTCCAATAAACGTCAATTTTTTTGTTGTTATTTCAGTATTTATACTTAGTTTTTCCTTATGAAAGATTTTGCTACCCACTTGGTGATTCTTTTGTTTATCTACTTCTCCTTATGTGTGTGTTTTCAATTCTCACTCATATCGATTACGCATTTAAGGAAGAGATTAAGGTTTAAGGTGCATTCTTGTGATTTAAATTTTTACAAATATTCGATCTTGTGTTCTCTATTGACACTCTTTTTATCGCCTTTGATTTTTTGACTAAATCAGTTTCTAGATCTGATCACCGTTATTTTTCTCTTTCTCTTCATTCACGTGTTTCTTTTCTCTTCCATCTCTGATTGTTTCGTTCCATAATAATAATAATTCCTTCTTGTTTCCACAGTGTTTTTGCGTTTTAATTTTTGTATTTTCATGTTGTCCATTTTCCAATCGATTTCTCCATCGATATACTTTTATTTTCCTCCCATTTACTGTTATACTGTTTTTTCTTTTCAAAAGATAGTTTTTTTGGTTTCTGGATGTTCATGTTCCTTTTAGCTTATTTGTAATCTCTTTTCCAGGCATTTACCATTTTCACATTTATGTTTACATGATTTAGAGAATTTTTTGTCAACTTTTTTATAAGCAAAAAATTTTGGCCGATTTTGCCAATTTTCAAAATTTAACTAAAAACATTTTCTTATAGATTTCGACCTCTAGAAGTTAGTTTCGGCCTTTTCTCTTCAATAGCTCCTACGATTTTCCTAGAATCGCCCATTAAAATACTTTGGTATTACAATTTATTGGATTGAAAAAAACAAATTTTAGAACCAACATTTTTTTCATTTTACACCGGGAGCATGAAAGCGTCATGTTTTTGGAAGCAGCACGACGAAATCCTACATCTTTTGAGAATTTTTTTAAAGCGAAATTTTTCACTATGAAAATTTCGGGAAATTTTCAATAATTTTTTAAATGTAAGTAGAGACATTTTATTATAGAATACAACCTCCAGAAGTTAATTCGCACACTGAAATCCTTTGGTGTTACAATTCTTTGGAAAAAAAAAATTCGAACTGATTTTTTTTAAATTTTGGATCGGGGGAATAAAAGCGCCTGTGTTTGGAAGCAGGACGACGATATTCCACAATTTTTTGGTAATTTTTTCTAAAGAAAAATTTTTCAAAACGAAAATTTTGGGAAATTTCCGACAATTTTTGAAGTTTAACTAAAAGTTTTCTTTTTGATTTCGACTTCCAGAAGTTAGTTTAGGGATGCATAACTAACTCTTACCATTTTTCAAGAATCGCCCATTGAGTTGTTGCAATTAAAAGAAATAATATCTATATTTTGCCTATTTTTCTTAAAATAGGTACGTACTTTTCTTTGCACTGAGAACATGTAAACATTATAAAGAAGTGTGAGGGATAAAAATCACTACTTTAAACACGTTTTCAAACTCTTGTCGTGAAAAAAAAACTACGTATATTAAGAAAAATAGTAAAATATTAGCCCCGCCCACCCGCCCCCATTTCATTTGTGGTGATTTTTTTTATTCGCCGTGAGCTCGGGGGCGGAGCTTAATTGCAAAATCCTGATTTTTCTACAAGAAATTACCATATGTTTAAGTATCGTGTTATTGTCATAAGTGGGGAGAGTTACATAGTCCCATTTTTCTTAAAATTTTCCAACAATATGCTAATACTTGAAACATGTTTTCGAAATTTCTTGTGCAGAACTCCGCCCTCGGCTTGACAACGAATGAAAAATTCGTCACAACTGAGATTAGGGCGGGTGGGTAGCACTTAATCTTTGCTTTATTTTTTTTTTCCTTAATACAATATGTAGGTTTCTTTCAACAACATTATACTTAAAAACGTATTCAAATGGTAAATTTTTGCAGAGATATAAGGATTTTGTAATTAAGCCCCACCTAGCTGCCCTTTTTTTTTTCTTAATATGTACGACATTCTTAAAACATGTTTAAACTGGTAAATTTTTGAAGAGAAACATCGATTTTACATTAATTAAGCTCCACCCCTCGGTCTGATAACAAATGAAAAAGTCATCGTTTTTTTTTCCTCCTTTATATAAGTAGTTTTCTTTTCACAACAAGAAAGTCAGAACATGTAAAAAATAAAAAGGGGAAAAGATTAAAAATTACCAAAACATGTCATATTGTCAAATTATTTTGAGAAAAGAGGGGTTATTCAGCCCCTTTCCCCTTCCCAACTATGTGTCTCATTGATGAATCCTTTCATCTATCATGGTTCAGGGGGCGGAGCTTAGCTGCAAATGACAATTTCGTCGAATTTTGAATAATTTTAATTCGCTAAAAAAAATATTTTCAAACTGAAGAACCAGCACGACGAAATCTATATCCCAGATTTTTTAAATATTGCTTCTTTTTTCTCCAGTTTTTTTGATTATTTTTTTTAATTTACTTATTTTTACAATTTCGTTTTATATTAATCTTCGTACTTATTACTGACAATTTTATAACGTTTCTCGGTTCTCCCTTGCGTTTCACTTCGTCTTTCGCATTTGTCTTCCCCACATCGAAATTTTAAAAAGCTTCTTTTGTTAGCGTCTTTTTCTGTCTTCTTCTGTTTCCTTATTGTCAAATGGGTCGCGAATTGTAATTTCCAATTGCGGGTACTAAATCTTTGTAGTCTTATATTCTTATACCAAGACAACAATAAAAACACGATCAAACAGAGCCATCTTGAAATTTTGTCTTTGATCTATGCCTTTTCAACTCAAACTTTCAGACTGACGGTAATCTGACGAAAAGAAAATTCTATCAAAGACGAATCTTCAAAAATCTATGGCTCTTTGATATTCGTCTAACATTTCTGTTCACTTTTTTTGCTATTCTTGCAATAAGCTCTCCGAAAGGAAAGAGCTCATAATCGTTGAATTTTAAACAGCAAACCCAAAATTAGTGTTTTCATCTCCACCAAAAATTTGATGACGCCAACCAAAGATTTTCCAAAATAATTCTTACTTGAAATTTATGCTCGTGATGACGTTCTAGGATACGACGTCTATGGATTTTAGTATATACGGCGATGATGACTCATTGTCGGTGATGCCGGCCCGAAAAGAAGCAGGAACCAGATGTCGCGACGGGTGTTCGAGAACAAGCCTAGAAGCGGTGATGGGGACCTTCGAGAAGAACCGCGCCCCTCTTTAAATGAGAACCACCGTCGGGAGGAATTAGGGTAGTCCAGACAATGGGAGAAGTCTAATCAAATCTATTTCCAATCGAGTCGGAATTATTGTGTACACAATCGTTGTTCTTGAAAGGTACGTACAACAAAATTGACAGTTATTCGCGAAGTCTAAGAAGTCTGAAAAAGTTATTTTGTGTTATCAAAATTATAAAGGGAAAATTAACCCTTATCCAACCTTTTTAGACGCTACTGAAGGATAAATAGGTAAAATTAATTTATTTTAGTAAATCCTAGCAACTGTAACAATAAAACTTTTGTCAAGACTAAATGTTGCTATAGAAACGAAAGATGATCTTTTTATCAGAGGCGTACAACGAATTTGGACATAAATTTTAATAATTTTTATCTCTGCAAGGAGAACACTTTTAAGATTGTTGAGTTTTACCCACGCCCATTTTTAATCACCTGTTCAACGTAACAATACTTTTGATCTTACACGTATTATTATAGGCAAAATAAAATAAAATAAATAATAAGCAAGTTTAATAAAAAGTGTCTACAAAAATACCAAGCTTTACTATTTTTAGCTTTTTATATGAGTTACCTTAAAAAATCTAAAACATTTTAATAAATATACAATATTAACAAAGGTCCCCAA